ATTATAATAATAGGTTCCCAACTTTTATCAGCCAGTCTGGTTTTAAAAAAAATTCTTAATTATTGGAAAAAGATGATTTATTCAGCGATAAATGTGGACTAAAATGTCATTGGAAATATGCAGAAATATAGCAATAATAGAAACTAATGTCTCCTTTAAATTGATTTTAACTGGGTTTCAATAAAATAATGTATGATTAATATTGGAGATTTAAAGACCATTTACATTTTCTCATTTGAGTGGAACACAAAGTCACTCTGGCTTGAAAATTTAATTATCATATATAATCCTTGTGTACATTTGGTAGAACAAAATATACATTTAAAAGTAAAATTCGTTGCCTTCTGCAATCTTCAGCTCTTATTCAGTGCTGTAAGAAATATATTGTTAAATTGATTAACCATTTCCATTTGGAATCCAGACAAAATGTATCTGCAATACTTCTTCGCTCTGTTCCTTCATCATTAAATGTGTCATACATTTTTGTTTAAAAATGGAGTTGAATATATCTGTTGATTTTCCCAATAAATGGCTCATTAAATATTGCTAGACTATCTGAAATGCAAAAATACTTCTCTGGATAAGAATTGTATTGCTGCTGGCAGAAAAATAGCAAATAAATATACTTTAAACTGCTTTGGGGAAGGATGTCATAATCTGGAAACAACTAAGAAAACTCTTGCCCAGATTCCCACTAAATGTGTCTCTGATAGTAGAAAGATCACACAAGGACTTCTCACAAAGACATTCATGCCCTTTAAATGTTAAGGGAGAAAGCAATATTTTGGCTAGATTAGATCCAGATTATGCAGAACTTTTAACATTTTCATGGGAAATCTATGATAGAGAGGAAAATTAGTCAATTTAAAAGCCATTGAGATATCTCAATGACACCTTCTTAGAATGATATTCAGGTAGACATTGAATATCCTTGCTGGATTTTCAGCCGTGTAGTATATAATGTCTTCCTGGTCTTAGGGGAAAGTCTCGCCATTGTTACCAGTTTTAAACTGATATGTAATTGTTTGATTCCTATGTATATTGTATACCTCTTCTATGCATTAATTTAAGGCAGGAGTCTTCAAACTTGGCCCTTTTATGACTTGTGGACTTCAACTCCCAGAATTCCTCAGCCAGGCACACTGACTGAGGAATTCTGGGAATTAAAGTCCAAAAGTCATAAAAGGGCCAAGTTTGAAGATCCCTGATTTAAGGGCATGAATGGATATGTATAATGTGTATATCAGTGCTCCTCAAAGCAGGCCATAGGGACAAAAAGGATTTGTTTTGATAGAATATAGCTTATGCAGCATGTGAAAAATTAGCAGAATGAAGATCTCTACAACTGTCAGCTCTCAAAACAAGAGTTAATAGAGCAAGAGATTTCTGCTTGGTGTTTTTTTTTTAAATCTAAACTTTACTAATTTTTAACAAAACAATATTTAATATTTAAAAAGATTTTTTTAAAAAATTGAAAGTACAAACTAAGAAAAAAATGAAGAATCTATCTTATATTTTATACTTATCAATAATTGCTTGGTTGCTGGTTTTACGCTGCAGATGGTCTGAACACCTTGATACTGAAGTACAAATCTGAAAACATTCCTTGTCCAAATTTTCAAGGTTGGAACTTAGCATGCTTGCCAGAAAGTGGAAGAGAGGATATAACACTGTCACCTTGGTGAATAAAAATATGAAAACCTAGTCGAGGCCTTTGTTGCGCTTTTTTAGCTATGAACCTTGAGCCAACAGCTGCAGAGCTAACTTCATGCCAAGCCAAGACTCTTTTTGAGATAGCTTTCTTTCCCTCCCCCCCCCCCCTTCTATCTTTGTAGGACATCCTGCTTGCTGTTTTGTTCCTGGTATTGAATAAAACGCCTGGGATAGCAACCAATCAAAATCCAATCAGTCAGAAGCACATTGGATTTTGTTGATGTTAGCAAAAAGATTTGGGTGTGTACTTAATTCCCACAGGAATTAATTTTTGCTGAATGATAATTCTGAATTTCAGATAGGGCTCTATATTTTCATAGCACTCAATGAAAAATTATAACTTTTTACCGTACAGTTGAGAGGAAGGTAATTTTCTGAGCATGCACTATACTTCTGTTGTCTTGCAGCTAGTGTCTATAACATAAATAGAAAAGTCACACTGAAGCTGAACTCAATACCTTAGCCTGGGGCAGGGGGAGAGGTGTGTGTGTGTGTGTGTGTAAATAAAAATCAAGTGATGTTTCATCTAAGTACTGCTCTTTTTATCTTTCTAAATCAACCAAGATTGATAATGCACAAATGTACATTTCACATGATTTTGATTTCTGTGATTTTTGTAATTTTTTTTACTACGAAACTGATTTTTATTGCAAGTGCTTTTATGGTACTTCAGTTACCATACTCTAAACCAGTGTTTCTCAACCTTGACAATTTTAAGGCATGTGGACTTCAACTCCCAGAATTCCACAACCATTGCTGGCTGTGGAATTCTGGGAGTTGAAGTCCACATGCCTTAAAATTGTCAAGGTTGAGAAACACTGCTCTAAACAGCTTTAACTCCAAGTGTCTAAGAAGCTCACTTTATTATTTATTGCAAGTTCTGTGATTGTGGGTTCTTAGATTAATACCTTCTGGAGATCTGGATTATAGTGAGCTGAAATTGGCAATCATTAATCCAAGTATTCATTGAAACATTTATTTGCAGCCATAGGTTTTAGCAAAATTCATATAAAATTATAGCAATCCATATTAGTCCAATATATCTCTAATATTTACAACACATTTTTTCTTATTTGCTTTGTTACATGTTCATCTACATCTGACAATAGAAAATAGTAGGTTTTTTTCTTCTAAGTTAGACTGATTCAGTTGGGTTAACAAGGGCGTAATAAATTTAGCTTTAGATTCCTGATAAAGTTTTCAGTGTAATAAGTAATCCACATCTTCCACATGTGAGTTATTACAAATGCATAAATAATGTGTAGTTGTTCATCTTTTATATCTTCCATCCAAGTGGGATGTTATCATTGTTTGAAAGTGAAGTTCTGTAAAAGCTTATGTCAGAGAATGGAATGTAAAAGACTATAAATAATAATGAGGTTCCTCGTTCATCTTAAAAAATTTATATAAGTTAACCAACCTAAGTTTTCATACATGTCCTCTGTCTGGATTAAAATCTTTTTAAAAATAAAGGTATGATAATTTATGTCACTCAGCAGTTGAATAGTGTGTGTCTATAGTATATAGCTGTAATAGTATATGATAATTTATGTCACTCAGATCTAGCAAGAATTAAGAGAGAGGTTTTAGACAACAAAATTTATCTGTTTATTACTATTAAATTGTGGACATTGTTTGCCAAATAAGTATTGGGCATGAGGACTAGTATCCCCCCCCGGGACCATTGGCCCTGCACCCACATGGACTGCAGGTGCACCCCCATTGGTGGATTCTACGTCTCCGTGCTGAGAAAAGGCATTCAGGTAAGCCAACGCCCCTTCCAATATGATTATTGCTCTCTTTGCCCTTATATTTATTGATGGAAGGTCATTTCTAATCTCAGTATTGTTGTTAGTATACATGGGGATAAAGTTAAGAATTTATTCTAGACCACTTGTAATTTTTCTAACTTGTGCAAATCCCAAATTGGGGGTCCATTTTTCAATTGTGAAATCATTTTCCCCAGAAAGATCTTAAGTGCAGGCTGTTCTAACCATCCTCCTTTTGAACAGAAGGAGCAAATGATACCCTACTACAAATATTCTGCTTTGCTTGCTGTAGAATTTGTCTTATATAGAAACTAGTTAAAATTTTAAACAGGTGAGAATGAGTAATGCTACTGCTTATCTTATAAAATATTTTTCATTGACATATTAACATGACCATATGCACACGCACACACACACATACTAAGGCCATCATAACTGGATTTAGTAGATAGTCGTGCATTCTATAGGACAATGAACCGCAGATCTTTCTTAGTTAACAATTAATTTTATACCCAATAACCTTTTCCAGAAGTTCAATTTTTATACTACTAGTATTTTGATTTTTTTTTCTTTTAAATATAGCCTTGTCATTTCTAGTTGAATGAAAGTAGATGAACAGTAATTAATGGCAATAGAGATTTTAAATGATTAAGGGAATTGAGACAACTTCCTTTTTTTTCAACTCAGCATTTTTCAGGGAGAAACATGAAGCTAAAAATAATTTTATTTGGTATTGGTAAATGGTTGGAAGTCCGTAAAAACCTGTGTGGATCTATTATGAATCAGTCATAATTCTTGACACAGGATGTATTCTAGAAAGAAACTTATAAATTCATTTATAGCATTAAGAATTTATTGTGTAGAAACAAGTTTTGGAAAGAGAGGCTCTAAACTTTTTAGGCTGGTAGGCATGTTTGAAATTTTGAAAGCACAAATGATTTCACAGAGTTGTTGCAAAGCTATTCAAAATCACCTATTTACCAGAATGTAAAAACTTCCCTTCTACTTATTCCCACAGAATTATCTTTATCTATTGAGGGTGTGGGTGGGTGGGAATATTTCCAAACAGCCACCCACATTAAAAAAAAAAAAAATCAGGAGAGGCATAGAATCAAATGGTTGTTAAGAGACGTGTTTTGGACATCACTGGTATCCATGTGTTCATAATGGGAACTTGCATGCTAGATACAGAGTATAGGGCTAGGATGTTTAGAAATTGTGGGAATAGGGCAGATATGGTCACCAAGCATTTTGCTGCAATATGATTTTTTTTTTGTCTTTCTAATAACAAAATAGTCTACCTTCAGTCCATATTCACTCCAGTTTAAAACAACATTTTTGTTAAAAACAAGGTATGTGATTTTTGACCTTACTGTATATTTTCCCATGATAAGATAGGAGTAACCCTTAATTGCTGTTAGCTTTTTTTCTTTGGAGCATATGAATTTTCATGCCAAGATGTTTCTTGAATTCTAGCAACTTCATATTGTTGTATTTTTAAGGATCTTAAAAAGAAATATTTCTCTTTTGCAGAAGAGAAAAGTGTTTGCAGAAGACGTACAGGCAGTAAGAATCTACTGTTGATAACATATTATTAATTCCATTATTCAGGCATCATAATCTATGATATCAACATTTGGGGTCTCAAAAATTGATGTCTTTTTATTCCTTATATATACATAATTCATTCAGTTAGAAAACTGATGTAGAGATCAAATTGCTTGAGATACTTTAATGTTATTTATCTTCCAATAAGATATTACTGTGACACACAGAGCAGATATATTCTTCCCTAATAAATATATTCTGATGTTAATGCCATTGAATGAAACTAATGCCATGCCTAAGATGCACATTTATACCAATTTAGATTTAGCTGTGATTGCATGTTTTAAATTACCTTGGATTTTGTTCATCACCAATAACAGTTTAAAAAAATATTCCCAGACTACCAATTAGTTATTTGTTCAGGCTTTTTGCTTCTCCAGAGGTTTGCTAGTGCTAATAAAAACTCCATTTACCTTATAACCAATGTTATGTTGAATGTATTTATTTAAATGTGTAAACCATCCTGTACAGTTATATATTATATTACATTAAAGCAAAATATAATGTAGTTATAAAAATCTTTTTAAAATATGCTGCCAACCACATTTTAAATTAAGATGAAAAGCTATGTGAAAGCCAATTTTGGTTGTAACTGTTCTGGAGATACTTATAGGGCTATTGATATTTGCTATTTTCTTCTGTGCTTCTCTGCCATCATTCCTTTATGATGTACTGTAGCCATAAAGAAAAAATAAAGAACGTTTGTTTTCATCTTCAAGTAAATTCATCCTTCGTAAGGATTCAGGATGTAAAGTCATTGCAAGTACAAGAAGTGAAAAGACTAGAGATAGATGTTGATTTAACGTATCTTTGCCACCTCCTGGGTCGATGAAACAATGAAAAATTACAACTAGTCTTAACTGAGCTTTAATGTCACTGAAACAAGCAAATTTTAAACCATGGATTAAAAAAGTCATGTATGACTAAGCCAATTAACGTTAATTACAGTTGATGTTACTAGCATAAAATATTAAAAATGATATTGATAACTTACATATTTTTGCAGAGGAAAAAGGATAATGTCACGAACCAAATTTGTTCCATTAACTGTAAAGTGTACAGTAAAACTAACTGTTAAAGTGTGATCAAATCAACTTTGAAAACTAGTCAGCTAGGATCTTCAGGTTTCTTGGATAAATGGATGCAAAGACCTTCAGTCAGTGTACATAATTATGTCTTCTAACTGTATTCCTATTAAGGGTTTCTGTTGCATATTCCCTGAAACCACTTTTTCTTGTTTTTAAAGTAGAGGTCTATATAAAATGAATTGTAGATAATTCATTGCCAGCAATGGAAAAAAAGTTGCGATATGTTGCGGCACATCACATGACATTGTGAGTTTGACACCCCAGTTGTAGATGATCTTGTAGTAGTCACTCAATCTCATTCTACTGTTGTTTCTGAGGGTTTCATGAAGACAAATGAGGCATGAATGTTTTTCTAAGATTATAAATGAGAAAAATGTAAATAAAAATGAATTTTGATATTCAAAATGATGTATTAAGCTAAACTACTTTAAGATTTTTAATTTTCTCAGACTTATTTGAAAGGAGAATTAATTTTGTCCTAATAACACTGACATATTCTGACATCCCAATTTTTTTCAAAGCATTCCAGTTTGCTTAAGCAAGAACTTACTACAGTCAAGTTCGCAGATAAAGCGAAGCCAGATATAGCTATATTGCTTCTGAATTCAGAAATCAGACTGGAACATTATTATCTTGACATTTCTAAGAACATAAACTGTCTGGAAAAAAAGTGACAATCTTAATAGAGAAATCCAAAGATATCCGATATAATTATATTCCTGCCTAACATTGCATATTGCACAATTTTTTAAAAAGAAATAACTCTATTTCTCTCTCTGTTGTGTCCACCAGAGAGAACAGGAGGGCACTTTTTGCAGGAATGGGATATGTTTAGAAGCACTCGCTGTTCACAGTATGAGCCTTTTCTTGGTCACAATGTTATGTATTATTGTAGTGCAAAAGGCAAGGAAAAGAAAAGAACAAGTATGTTCATTAGAATAACCTACGGTTTATTTCAATACAAGTCATTGAACAAATCGCAAATGATAGAATACAGATAAAATGCTAAGCTATACAAACTGGCTACTACAAATAAACTAAACAAATATGATTTGCGAGGTTTTGATTTCACAAGCTATATAAAGTCATTATGAATGTTGGAAAAATAGTTACTCACAATGGATATTACATGTAGTTTGTGTTTTAGCTTAGACTTTCTAAGTTCACCTTTCTAAAGCTGGCACCATTCAGATATATAGGTTTCCAAATTTCTACACATCTAGAGGATACCTAGACATGGAGGAAAATTGCTTTATATCTGGGATGTGCGGGCCGGTTTCATCATACCGGAGCCGCACCCACCCCATTGCTGGCAATGGTGAAAAAGCTCCAATATGTCGCGTGACGTCACGTGACGTCGCGAGTTTGACATGCCTGCTTTATATTGTAATGGGCCCAATGGTACATAACTTTCAGGCACCGATATAAGATTGGAAAGTGACAAAAGTACCCCAAACAGGTGCTAGCAGTGAAAATAAATAACAAGTCCATCAGCAACAGATGGTTTAACTCTCAAATATTTCCTCGGGCATTTAGAGGCTGACCCAAACATCCAGTCTTAAAATTTAGCTATAAAATAATAGTTTGGCAATGTTGCTAATATTTCAAAAATAATTCTGCATACAGTTGAAATAATAATTCAGCTTTTTTGTGAAATTATGGTTTTAGATTAAAAAATCTGAAGAATTTAATTTTAATACAAATATTGTTCTTGTACTCCATTGTCAAGAAACTTCAAGAATGTAACTCAAGAATGTCTGCTTGTTTTGTTAATTAACAGCATTATCCTGATGCTGTGTCTTTAGGATATATTACCCATATAGAGAAAGCAGATGTGATCACAGTTAACTCATGCATAAATTAGTCATCTTACACTTAGAGTACTTAATGCGAATTGTAGCATCTACATTGATTTCTAGAATTACACTTTTGATTAGTAACGTTAAGATACGTAACTGACTAGAAGAGCAATGAGTAGATTTGGTGCATGAAAATATATTAAAATATTAATAAGCAGAAAAAGAGATGATCAAGCAAGAAGGGGGAAATAATAATGTTCAAACATTAACAAATATTCAAATGTGTAATTTTATTTTTCTTAAAATAATTTCATAGTCATCTCTGAAATGGGGAGGGGTTGGCGATAAAATGGCTTACCTCATCAGTTCTAGTTTAGCTATAGCATCATTAAGGCACCATAAAAAAGTTTTCTAAAAAGACTCACTTGAATAAGACTTATCTTCAGACATTTCTTTGGTAAATATGCTATGCTAGACTCCAGAATAATCCTTGTTATAACTAACACTTTGGACATACAGTAAGTAAATGACTCTATTAAGAAGTGCTTGAGATCATCTTTCAGTTCTTCTAAAAAAACCTAAGGATAAAATCCAAACAATTGAAAAGCTTCTTTTTATATATGAAATCCAGACAGATTTATTTACCTAAGGGAATTCATATAATATAATCTATCCTTTGATGTTCTTATAAATGTTATAAAGGAGTAATTCTCCTTTTCTGAAATATGAACATTTCATTTTACAGCATTAGATGGGGAATCCACATAGACTGCCAAAGAAATATTCTTTGTATTAGTGACTGTTGTGAAACTAGATTGTATGCGGAGTTATTTCTGAATCTGTAACTGATGAAAATTCTGTTCTCATGGTAAAACAAAATAGTTTTTTAATAAAAACAAACAGATATATTCTTGATAGTTTAAATCAGCAAGGTACCTACAATTATGTTTCCTTTAATGGAAGTAGAGGAGTATCCACTGTGGTCTTGGTTTTATATCGTTATATGCCTGCTTATCGGATGTTTAGGAAATAGGGAAGAAAGTAAATTACAGGAAGATACCAGATTTAAGATTTGCTAGATCCAGCTAAGTGCAAAATAGAATTTCAGGTGTACTTGAAATTATGATCCAAAGTGATTCTGATTAGATGTTCAGATAGGAAATCGTTCTTAGAATTGTACTAAAAAGGAAGTTTGTATGCAAATCTTTCCAAATCTTTGCAGGTTTTTCTTGATATCAATAACTTAATATAGGAAGGAAGGAGAGGCTTTCTGCACTTTGCCGTTTAACCAGAGGGAATTAAAGACTCTGTAATAAGTTGGAGAACCTAATAAGAATTTTGTATAATTCTACACAGTTTAACTCATGAGATAAGGAAGATCATTGTGGGAAGGAAAAGTAATTTTTTTTAAAAAAATACTGACGTTTCAGTGATGAAATAAATAAAGCAGATGGCTGGTTTCAAGTTGGACTTTTCTGTGGTTTTACATTAAGGTCCCTGGTAAAGCAGTCCCTGGAAATAGGAACACTGTCATACATTCTATTTATTCAAGAAACATAAAAAGTGCTAACAGCTGCCGTTTAATTTTTTCTCAGTTGGTGACTATCTTTACATGTGGTCTGGTCTTTTTAAAAAGACACAAGGAATAATTCAGATTCCATGCCTACAAAGCCTGTAATCCTAACTCTCCTTATTTGGAAGAAAGTTCTATTGAAATTGAAAGGAAAAGAAATACTCATTGGGTGAAGTCAGCAAACAGAGGTATTTCCTCCCTCAAATAACAAGTACTTACTAGTGAATTATTGCTGATCAATTCTTGTAATTCTTCAGTTATCCGAAACCAAATCCTGTTTGCTATATTTTTATAATCCATAGGAAATTCCAAGATAGATGAACTATGAACATGAAACTTAAAGGAGATGTGGCAGATGACATTCCCATATTGAAAAATGATTGTGTGCAGTAGTCTTTGGAATCCCATAGATTCAACTGTTTACATTTTGAGTCATTTATAATGTCACCTGTAGATGCAACAGTAAGGTTAATTTGTAGTGGTGTCTTGATTCACATGCTACATTGAGCCATGAACCACATACAACTCTGAACATCACAGTCTCTTATTCTGGGCTCTCTCTAGGAAAACTCTGTGTCATCAAAACTACCTTTACTGCTCCTGCAAGTGCATGTTCCATCACAGATTGCCATCTGATCCTTAAGCAGGAGCTATGAGTTTAAGATTGATAAATTGCACATCAGTTTCAATTGGGGGAGTGACACCCCATCCAGAGCTAAAGATAAAATATCATCTGGACCCAGGGGACTGAAAACTCAGAGCTGTTCCATCTTGCCAGAGTTGAGTCAAAGCCAATTCCTTCCCATCCAGATCCTTATAGCCTCTAGGCTTCTTGGTATCTTTGTGCTATAAAGTAAAGTCAGAGGATTAGGCAATTGTTTATTCAGTACAATTTCTCTGGAGTCATAGAAAATCTTCTACTATGGTGTTTCAAGAAACTGTATAAGAATTAATGGGATGTGGTGATTAAGGTATTGGATAAAATCAAAGAGATAGAGAGTCAAGTATATATTGACCTTGCAATTGTTGTAATGTAGGGCCAATCAGTATTTTTCTGCTCACAGAATGTTGTTAATTGAATATAACAAGGCAGGATCCCCTCTCTGTACTGTCTTGCTCCTACAGGGAAATTGGGAAATACGTATAATAATTAACAAATAATTTGGAAAAATGAGAATGAAATAAAATCCAAAATGTTTTGTATTGGAGACACATGGTTTAAAATCCCCTCTCAGCCAAAAATCACAGCTCGGTTCTAGCCAAATTGCAATTTCTCAAGGCAGTATGAGTTTTTCTTTGTTACTTTTAGAGCAAAATGGGCATAGATACAGTTTTTTAAATGTTTTCACTACAGTATGAAACCAAAAGCTGCTTTGGAAGTACGCTCTTTTTAGCTTCATGCCCTGCCAGCATTTGTGAACAAGAGAGACAAACGAGTTATGGTCCCTTGTCAGAAGCATTCTTGGCATTGCCTTATCTTTGCTGATTTGTACTTTAATTCCATCAGGTACGATTGACAGGCCATAACGCTGAATTTGCTTTTCTCTTTTGTGTTATCCAAGCAGATAATCTAAGTGACGCCTTGAAGAAGCTGAAGATAACAGCTGTTGACAGCAGAGCTGATAGCCTGGAGGGGTGTTTGGATTGTCTCCTTCAAGCCCTGGCTCAGAACAGTAAGTTTGCTTGTTTCCTTCAATTTTATACCATACAATTCAGTCAGTCAATAAATGACTATGGAAGCAATAGGTGTACCAAATGGAAGAAAAACTATACATGGAACTGATGTAATAACTGTTTGCACAGCAATAGCAGAATTTGATGAAGGATTTTAAAAAGAGAATGTAGTCATAGAAATACTACAAAAACCCAGAACAATAGCAGAAAAAAATGAACTAAACATTTTGAAGGAACAAAAATATACTGTTCCTGAAAAGATTAAAAAATAATGCCAGCTGCTTTTTCTCAAAAAAAACCCCCAAAAAACCCCTTTATAACTTGAGGCTGTAATTAACAAGGATTGTTCTGCAGTAACCATTATACCTCTGCAATTGATGCTTCTGTGATCCAGGGTTCTAATGATTATATCAATTTATAGATATATGAGAACAGTGCTAAAATGATTTCTATAGGCATCTAGCTGGCAACCATACAAGGAGAATTCCAATCAAGAGCTAGAAATAAAGTTATTAGCACCCATCCAACAGCAATGCCCTGTATTGAAAACCTTATAATTGGCCAAGTCATCTCGTTCTTTTAGCTTCCTTTTTGCTATCTTATTCTGTGTCAAGTACAGACTTTAAATCAGTGGTCCACAAGCTTTGAGGACTAGCAGTGGGGAGGAGAGGGGATGGTTCTGCACAAACAGCAAGTGAGCGAATGGGCTGCAGTCCAGCGGTTGAGTACCCTTGCTTTAAATAGCTTTGGAATAAAGAGTTAAGTTTTAACCCACAGTATACTATATTTCTTTATTTCACATTTAAACTCACACCTTTACTTCCTTCCATTTATGTATTGATTTGTGCTCAGCATTCAGATGTGTTAAATAATACCTCTAGAAATTGAAATACAAGTCAACATACCGCACCTCACAATTTAGAGGCTGATCCAATGTATCATTACTCACTGCAAATGCAAACTGCTGAATCTGAAAATTATTTGAACAGGCTGGGCTCTTTCTGTTTTACTTTCTATAAAATATCTACATTCCACATTTTTTGTCCTAAGGAACAGCATAGAGTTATATCTGTGAGCATATAGAGACACTGCATAACAAGTATATGATAATAAAACAATGGACATTGAAACTTAAATCTAAAAATAAGAATTGAATATATTTGATCAGCAGTAACACTGGCAACTAAATAAATTTTTTGACACTCAGTCTCACCCAGTTACAAGAAGGTAAATGATAGCAGAGGCAAGCATATCTTCCTTGGGAGAGTTTCTATAACCCCAGGATTTTTCTTCATTTCAGAAGTCAGGAAATAAGAGTAAAGGCTCAGATGTCAACTGAAGAGCATAACCTAATGTATAGAAAGTAAGTGCTCCCCATTAGAATTGCTGCAATTGATATCCAGAGAGAATGTTCTCTACAGGTTCTTAATTAATCCCAAAGAGAGTTCTGAAATAAAAACAAATGGAAGCTTCAAATCATATATTCAAGAGCATATCTATCTCGCTTGTCAAATAAATGAAAATACTTAAAGATATTCCTTTTCATTTTGATAAAGATAACTGGTTGATCACCACACATCTTAAAGATCTGTGTGTAACAAATGGAGGTCTTTGATAGGAAAGGATCCTTGAAAAACATACTTCAGTGAGTGTTTGTATCATCTGAGGCAGAATATGTATACCTATTCATTATGCATGTTTTATTATATATTATGTTCTGTGAATAAATACTTTGTAATGGAAAATAAAAATTAAGTTTATGATAAATAATTCAAAAGATAGATTAGTGTTCTTCACTTTGAAAATAGTAAGTATAGGATTCAAACTAAGATTCTCTTTGAAATACACATGAAATGTAAGGATTTAAAAAGCTCTCCCTACTGACAAAATGTTTGCAAATTGCCTTCCCTCAGCAGCCCAGAAGGTAGAAATTATTTTAGAAGTTTGATTTTAGTAGCAGTTTTCTGATCTGAGCCCTTGGTTTGTTAAGTCTGTTAGAATAAAGAGTCACAAATACATTTTTAAATATGACTGTGGGCAAGCCTAAGAAGTACTGTGAAATATACTGAGGTTGATAATGTCTCTCTAGGACAGTGGTTCTCAACCTGTGGGTCGGGACCCCATTTGGGGTCGAATGACCATTTCACGGGGGTCACCAAACCATGCTGTCCGCCATTTTTTTCCTTTTTCCCCAGCTGTCCTACTCCCTCTTATGGGTGGCCACACCCACTTGGGGGTCACCACAACATGGGGAACTGTATTATGGGGTCACGGCATTAGAAAGGTTGAGAATCACTGCTCTAGGAAGATAACTTCCTGCACTAGAATAAGTAATCAGAAAAGGATAGTTCTTCCTACCCTGATCATACCCTAGTCTCAGATATAAATTATACAAGAAAATATTGTGGTAGTGAAAAAGCAAAGTCTGAAATTTTGGTTAGCAAGGATAGAGGTATTATAAACTAATCTGAAATAGCAAAACCATTAATCTTATTCATTTGGATGGTTCTGTTTTTAATGAAACATGGAAGGAAATAAAAGGGCTTCCATAACTTAAATAATCTTAAATATCTTAAATAATCAGAGATGTCACTGCCAAGGTCACCTGGTCATTGGTAGGGTTTAGAGTTAGCTCCTGTACTATTCCCCCCCCCCCCGTCCAAGTAAACATTAGATTATTAGAATTGACAGGGTGTGTCAGAGGTAGCCTTCTAAGTAGTATAGTCATACTATCATTTAATACTGTATTGCCCCATATTTTAACATTTCATGTTTTTAAAATTGTTTCTAACCTTAGTACACAGGTATATTAAAAATTAAAAATTAGTTAAAATAAAACTAGGATACACTGAAAGTCTCAGTAGCTGAAGAGCAAACAAGTACCCTACAAGCCTTGTGAAAGGTTTTCTGTGACCTATGTGCCCACTCGTGCAAAGCTGAAAGGCAAGAAGGGCCTCTGGTTCATAAAGGGGCGGGAGGTTGTTGAGATGTGCCTGTCTATATTTCATTACCTTGTAAGCCATTTGAATGGGTGAAAAACATCCTTGAAGTATGTTTTTCAAGGATATTCTCCTATCAAAGACCCAAGAGATATATAGAAGGTAGTCTTGGATACTTAATAATGAAGAACATATTTTCTCCTATTTTAAAATGTGTTACAATTTTTCCTCTCTTATAGTTATTAATTCAGATTGCTTAAATTATTTGGTTTGGTAATAACGTTGCAAATAGATTAGATTTGAATTTGGAGTTACAATTCATATGATTCGTACCTTGGATCTCTCAACCTTTAGGATCCAGGCAGAGTCCACTAATATATTTGATATCAGTAAACTGGCTTAAAAAATCTTAATTGGAGCAAGATATCTTGCACAAATATTGCTGTGATAATATGGAGATTAATTTTGTCCCTAACTTTGCATGGCTATTCCAATGTATAGGAAAAAAATCTTATGATTTTAAGTGCAAAGGATCTTTTGAGCAGAATAAAAATGTATGTCCACTTAATGATGAAGCTTTCTTGTGGTGATATGGTTTCTAGTTTCAACTTTTGCTTATATAAGAATGACTCACAGTGAACTGAGGATAATGAAGGAACTTACTTTAGAGGCTGTGTGTTTTTTTTTTTTTTATAGCAGTATACAAAAGCTCTCTCTGAAATGTTGTCAGTTTCGACTCTCAGTAATGTAGCTCTGGAAAATCATATGGCATAGTTATATAAAATGTAGCATTAGCATTATAAATAATCTTAATAGCTTCATAAAATCAAAACATACACTTAGATTAGAGGTTACCAATCTTTTCAAATATTGAAGCTTGCCTAATACTTCAAGGATCCCATCCCCTTAAAATGTCATTTGAGACCATAAGGTATTGATATTCTAATGAGAGATCTGTCATCTCATGACTCTTATGCAGGATCATGGAAAACCTTGCTGTTTGTCACTTTCAGAAATTTCTGCCCTTGTCTATGTGTGTATAAGAGCACAGTATTCATTCTCAGGTGACGTGGAGAAGTAATGGATGCCCTGGTGCCTGAAGACATCGTGCTGGCAACCTCTGTTTTATAAGATTAAACTGGAACTTGGGAGAATTAAGTTCAAACTGGCATTGGGTGATTGATCTTCAGCAAATTATTCTCGCTGTAGGATTATTGCAAACATAAGAATAAAAGTGAAGGAAAATGTCTGCATTCAGCCTTGAATATTCTGAAGAAAAATGGATAATACATATAATGCAACAGTATAAATAGTCCTTGAATTTTATTAGGAAGTAGGGTAGAATCTTGCTTTAATGTAAAAAAGTACTATTAGGCTGCACAGTATATGTGCTAACTTTTATCTGGAACGTGATTCCTCAGGATGATTCTGATCTATTTTTAATCAATTCAAGTTGAATACATCACCCATGATTTCAAACTTTAAAAGCTTTTCCATGTTATGACAGTGGATTTGACAAGATAAATGATCACCAGATTTCATTAAGAGGAAAGCTTTTAGGAAAGGGATCCAACCTTAATTTCCAGACTCAAAAGTAGACATTCTTAAGCTGATTCAGAGTGTTACTTCTCCCTCTAGTCCTTCCCTCCAAAACAAACACTCCTATGCTTGCAGATTTTAGACTCTGTTGCAAAGTATATTGATTGTTCTATAAAATGACACCTTGCCGCATCTCTTAAATTTGTGCAAAATCTACTAAATCAGTAAAGCCCCTTCTCTGAAATTTTCTGCTAGAGCTTGCTCAATTTTAAGATGCTTTAGTTTTAGTTGCATTAAACATAAAAGCCATTCACTGAAGAGCATGGTGACATTGGGTGAGTGTGCATTTCAACTAATAATTCCTGTAATAGGTTTGGGGAATCTTTGGTATTGAAAATGAAAACATTGCTCATTTAATTTGTGCAAATAACAAGTACTGCAACATACTGTAACATTTCCGCTCTTCTGTTTAGAGTCATAGTCTCTCTTAATTTCTTCGAAGTCTTAATACATTATTTTCTGGCCTCACTAGTTCAGTTTTAAATTAAATAAAATAACAACTTCACCAGAAAGCCTGGTATTGTCACATAACAGTTTGAAGAATTGGAAAAAAGAATAATAAACTAAAATGATATCTTTTTGTAATATCTTCTGTTACGTCAAGGAAATCTATTTCATGTTATTGGTTACATTAGCTTTGATGCTGTTTACTTCTCTCTGGGTAAATTTATTGTTTTATTATCTATATATTGCTAAAACACCTGTCATTATGACCTTTAACTGAGCAAAAGAGTGCATCATTGAGTTAACAATTTTTGAACCAAGGTACCTTAAATGGGCTAACTTACAGAATGTGTCCAAATTCCAGGACCAATGATTCCCAAAAGAATGAAATTTGGGAAAGTTGTATCTACTTCAATACTGTGTTGCTGTTGCACTGCTGGGCCACTGCTACGGTCATGTGATCTTCATTTTCAATGTTCCATGACATTTTCCCAGCCAATCTTGTAATCCCTTACTCTTTCCCCTACCCAGCAGCAGCCACTGACATACCTGCTGGAAAGGGGAGAAGCAGGCCCATGCCATCACACATGCATTCCCCCAATCTGTGCAACCCACACATGCATCTCCTCCAACCTCTTCTGCCCCCCATGACCCATACAACACCTGTTGTGACCCATGCAGCACCTGTTCTACATTCTCAAGTGACACATGCTACCCCTACACACCTCTTCTAATCTGCATGGCACTTTTTGCAAATACCCCTATGAAATGACCCTATGGAACACAAGTTGTCTAGTTAGTTTTAAAAAGCAGTTGAACTGTGGTATGTACAGTAAATTGAAAAGTAAATAATACCTGGCTCTTAAAAGTGAATTGGACTGGATGAAAACTCAAAAGGTAACATGCTGATAGTTAGGTATCTTAATGTACCAAGTACATAACTGCACATTTTTGTAGTTACTCATCTACTGCAGTGGCTATAAGCAACATGGAATATTTTAGGTTACATGCCTTTGATTATCATGCTTGTTTATATAATATTCATTTCACAAGCTAAAGCGGGGGTCCCCAACCTTTGGGCTGAGGCCTACTACCGGGCCACAGCCCATTTGGAACCAGGCCGCACCAGCGGTGGATGAGTATGCACACGCCAGCGCTCTCAACCCCAAATGCGCAGGAAGCAGGGGCCGGCACTTGCAGCCCCACTTACGCAAGCGGCAGGCACCCACGCCTGCCGCTCACGCAAATGAAACTGTGCACATGTGCGTGCACACTTGCCCCTTTTGCAAAACCATCCCCCTCTCCCCTCCCCGAAAGGTTGGAGAATGCTGTGCTAAGGCATTCATAACTTTTGTTAGATGATTTGAAATAGAGGATATATTCAACAGATAATACTGTTGGGCAGGTCAGATACTATTATGTTGATCAATCTTTGTGGACAAATATTTGCAGTGCTGACTAAGAATGAGAAATATTGATCACTGTTGATACTTTTAAATTAATGAAAAAAAAACTTGGCAAGTTTAATTTAAAAGCCAGAGCACCAGCAGTGTTGTAGCTGATCTCTGGTATGATAAAATAAGATTAAACAACTGCTATCAGAAGTGAATTTAATAAAACAATAGCACAGGGTAGAATTTTGATTCCCCCCCCCCCCCAAAAAAAAAAAATCTGGAAATACATGTCCTGGTCATAACATGGATGCTGGGTTAACAGATAGTAGTAACTTAAAATGAAAAGGTGTTACATTGGTCTTGACTTTGTAGAAAAATGGAAGAAAAATGACATATTATTTAAAGCAGATTGGAATCTGCAAAAGCATTTTTTTAGGCTTTTGTGTCTCTTTTGTTAAGTAAATTACAGAAGATGCAGTCTTAGCTTCCTGCATTTGTTCAAATATTTTTCAACAGATGATGTTTATAGAGCAAAGCATCCTAATTTTATTTTCAAATTATTTCTTGATATTCTGGTAGACAGGTGCCCTGATACACTATTTTTATTCTGGCTGTTATTTATTTTTTTTAGGTTTAAAATGTTAGCTATACTTTATCTCTATAATCCTTTAGTAGCACTCGATATTGGCTTCTTTAAATTAATGAAGTGGAGGTTCTAAGGCAGAGAGATAACACTTATCCAAAGTCATTCAGTGAGTTTCTGGCTTTGGGTGCAGAATTGCAGGCTTCATATAGACTTTATATTTCAGGAATGTTACCATATACAGTATGTGTTTCCCTCAAACTTGTGTCCAGATGGAGATATTCCTTGGCTAAGACTCATAGCGGCTATAAATACCTAATACCTACTAATCTTTCAAATCTCATAAGTAGAATAGTAGAGTCATTTGAAATCTTATGAATTCATTTGTGATCTTTTGAGAACCAGCCTTTTTCACATGCTTTATTGATTTATACATTGACCACTCCTTAAATATGTGTCTATAATATTGATCCAAACCAAGAGGCGTGTTACTGTTTCTGCAGTGATAAGTTGGGAGACCTTTCTGCAGATGGGTCTTGGTATCAATCCTTAGTACTTTTCATTATAGTGATTGAAGTTAATGGGGAAAAAACATTTCTCTGGAGAAGCTCCTATTAGGGTACAAAGAGTCCAGTAGGTATATAAAGTAGTATTCTGTATAAAGGTAGGTAGATAGGTGAGTGGATGGATTGATGGATGGATGATAGGGAGGAAGATGGGAGGGGAGAGGTTTCAATAATAATAATAATAATAATAACAATAATAATAACAACAACAATAACAATAGTTGGAAGGGACCTTCCAAGCAATGACATTGACAGACTCTACCTACGAAGGCAAATAGGTGGGCGTGGAATGCTGCAAGTACATCAGATAGTTGAAGAAGAAAAAATGGCTTTGGAAGAATATCTGAAAGACAATGATGAAGATGCACTGAAATTAGTATATCAGGAAGGCTTACTGACTACTGGAGAGACCAAACTGGCCTACAAGAAAGACCAAATGAAGAACAGAATAGAGGCATGGGAAGACACAGCACTACATGGCCAGTTCATTAAAAAAAATAGCTGGGAAAGCAGATAATAACAAGACCTGGCAATGGCTAAGAGCAGGAAAATTGAAGAAAGAGACCGAGGGACTAATTCTGGCTGCACAAGATCAAGCCTTAAGGACAAATGCATATAAAGTCAAAATTGAGAAGACAGCAACAAACAGTAAGTGCCGCCTATGCAAAGAAGCTGAAGAAACAGTGGACCACCTGGTAAGCTGCTGCAAGAAGATCGTACAGACTGACTACAAACAGTGGCATGACAAAGTAGCAATAATGGTGCATTGGAAGATCTGCAAGAAGTATCATTTGCCTTTAAGCAAGAAGTAGTGGGATCATAAAATAGAGAAAGTCATAGAAAATGATAAAATTAAACTGTTCTGGGACTTCAGAATTCAAACAGACAAGCACCTGCAACATAACACTCCGGACTTAACTATTGTCAATAAGAAAGACAAAAATGTCTGGATAGTGGACATGGCAGTGCTTGGAGACAGCAAAATAGACAAGACAAGAAAGAACTGGAGAAGATAACAAAATACAAAGACCTACAAATAGAAATAGAAAGACTATGGCAAAAGCAAGCAAGGGTAGTACCAATAGTAATAGGCGCCCTGGGTGCAATCCCAAAACAACTGGAGCACTACTTGAACACCATTGGGATTGACAAATTCGCCATTAGTCAATTGCAAAAGGCAGCCTTTCATAACTGCTTCCATCCTGCGACGATATCTGTAATACCATCAAACATCCACATCTGCCTATCCCAAGTCCTTGGTAAGGACTTGATAGGTAGACAAAAATGCCAAATCCAGTCTGAACATCTGGCTGACTGTGCGATGGTCAATAATAATAGTTGGAAGGGACCTTGGAGGTCTTCTCGTCCAACCCCCTGCTCAGGCAGAAAACCCTATACCATTTCAGACAAATGGTTGTCCGGTCTCTTCTTAAAAACTTCCAGTGTTGGAGCATTCACAACTTCTGGAGGCAGGTTGTTCCACTGATTAATTGTTCTAACTGTCAGGAAATTTCTCTTTAGTTCTAGGTTGCTTCTCTCCTTGATTAGTTTCCATCCATTGTTTCTTGTCCTGCCTTCAGGTGCTTTGAAGAATAGCTTGACTTCCTCTTCTTTGTGGCAACCCCTGAGATATTGGAACACTGCTATCATATCCCCCCTCGTCCTTCTCTTCATTAAACTAGACATACCCAATTCCAGCAACTGTTCTTTATATGTTTTAGCCTCCAGTCCCCTAATCATCTTTGTTACTCTTCTCTGTACTTTGTATTTCAGAGAATCATGGAAAGGGAAATGTTCAGAAATCATTATATGAACAAATAGCAGAAGCATTCCTTAAGCCCTCATAAAGGAGATAATTTTAGGAAAGATTTAGGCTGGCGCCTCACTCAGTGGGATATAAGAAGGAAGTGAAGAAAAACACAATCAGATTTGCCAAATTTTATTAATATAGCCTCTTAATAAAGCTTATATCTGGTTTTCTTGTGGAGTCAGTTTCCTGATGAAAACAACCTTAAAAGAGCTGACAGTGATCTTTTATAAAATATTGTGTTGTATATGTTTCTTTTCAGATATTGAGACAAGTGAAAAAATCCAGAAAAGTGGCACTCTCCCGGTGTTTGCAAGCCTACTGACTCCGCAATCTTCCTGCACTGCAAAAGTAGCTAACGTCATAGCAGAAATAGCCAAAAATGGTGAGGTTTTCCACAAAGCCTTTTTTGCTGGAACATCTTCAGTTTTGCAGCTCACGTTGTCAGTATGTTTTACTTTTTTTAAGTTTTCATTTTATGGATGTTTCCATTTCTCTCTCTCTCCACTGTTTTTGTTTAGTTCGATCTTTATGTTATACTAGTAACTAGTGCCATCAAAAAGAACATACTTTCAGAAATGTGTATTAATTGCAAGTGAGCATTGAGCATACATTCAATACAAAAAGCGGCAAAAAGTCAGGATATATGGGAAGTATTCTAATGATGAAAAAGACAAGACTGTGCCAGAATGCACCTTAAGGATAAAAGATACGAGATGGAATTGGTCATGGTAAACAAGGCATATGCACCAGATTTTTTTTTTTTTCATTTTTTTCTAACCCCAAAAGATGGGCTATTAATTGCTATTAATCACTGGTTTATTGCCAAAATGTAGCAATACAATTCCTAGGAGTTCTCAGAGTCATAAAAAATAAATTCAAAACCTTATGCGAGGTGCATATTCATTACATTCTTTAAAATCTACCCCTTTATTGAGGGCTTATAATGGTTACAAAGATTACCCATTTCATTCTGTATGCAGAGCACTTTGAACATTTACTGCTTTACAGACCCTACTCTACTGTCAAAGTATATACTCAAAGCCTAGCAAGTAATAATCATACTTCAGAATGAAAATTCCCTCACATTTTCAGGCAGTAAATTATTATGGGTTGGATTCAGATTTAGCCATACTTAGACTCACTGAAAGTAAAGGGATAAAAGGATTTGCAGATATGAAGAAGGAATAAGAGATCCTCATTTTGTCTAAACATGAGAGTCTCAGGGTAAAAATTACAATGTTTAAATTTTGAACTTCAACTTAAAACAACAGCTGTTTCAAACTTAACAATAAATAATTCTTAGGCAATAGTCTTTAATTGATCTTTGTTTCTTTTTCCATGGATTGTAGAGTTTATGCGGAATCCATGTGTGGATGCTGGCTTGATCCCACCTTTGGTTCAGCTCTTAAACTGTAAAGATCAGGAGGTGCTTCTTCAAACGGGGCGTGCCTTGGGCAACATATGCTACGACAGCCGTAAGTCTTCAAAAATCAATATTTTTATTTTTAAATCTTACCTATTCATTTTTTGTAGTATTATTGGAACTTTTGTGCAAATTTTTCTGAGACATTAGCAGGTGTTGTCCTACATGACAGGTTTTCATTGATTTAAATGGAAGCAGGCAAATCCTTGACAAATAGTCTAAAGATCCGAAGACAGAGATAGAGAAATTGTCTTGTGTGTTTACTTGTTTTATAGTTTTCTGTAGTGGAAGACTTGCCAAATTTTATTTTTATAAATAAATCAGTAGAGTTATGCAATGTAATTTTACTCCAACTCACAAAATAAAACTGGATGGAATTTGCCATATTTAGATTCCCACTGATCATCGTATGTGATGTTACAAATAGGAATCCAGATTCTCATGTGTATATGCTTTGTTGTCAGTTCTGCTTTTTTAGCAGAAGGTTCAGTTAGCCATGTAAATCAAATAAAATAAAATAAAATAAAAATAAACATTTCAGACATAGAAGCAGATAATTATCAGAGGGACTGTAGACAGTAATATATTATAACTGCTATATCACTGTCAAAAAGTATACCCAATACTTTATTAGTAGATGTTTTTACTGCCAATTTTACCTTGCTGAAAGAAAGGAACCACAAAAAATGTATGCTGAATTTTATTATGAATGGAACTGGTTGGCAAATATTTAGAAGGCCCAAATATAAAATTGTAACATCAGAACAAGAATGAAACTGCAGCTGATATTCAGTGTATTTTAACATGTAGAATTATGTTTCATAATTATATTTGTCTAGAGATGAAACCAATGTTTCCTAATATATATGAAAAGAAGCATACAGATTCTCGGACTTCAGAAATAACTTTTTTTTTTTTACAAACATGGGCATGATATCTACATCTTTGTTCTTGGTTATTTTGTTGTTTGTTTTCTTGTTTTGATTACCATTTAGAGCAGGGGTGTCAAACTCAATTTCATTGAGGGCCGCATCAGCATTGCGGTTATCCTTGGGGGACCGGGTAGGTGTGGCATGGGTGGAGTGTGGCCTACTGGGTGGGCATGGCCAGCTCTACAACGTTCGCGTCCAGGGTGCCTTTGGGGGCCTGGGCAGGAGTGGGACAGATCTGAAGGTCTCTGGCAGAAGGGGGTGGGACCAGGGCAAGCACCAAGGCATGGTCCACTGGAAAAGCCTGCCGAAACCCCTCCCCCGGAGCCCATCAAGCCAGATATGTGAAGTAGGCAAGGGCCATTTGCTGGCCACTTTCAGGCAATGGTACATTTCCTCATTCCTCACAAAGGGTGATACCTCCCCAGCATGCACCCAGGAGGTGGGGCAGACGCGGCAGGGGCTGGTTCCTCGCTGTTTCCAGACGGCTTTGTGGAGCTAAGACTGAATGCGTTTCAGCATAGATGGCCACCACAAAATTGTATATTGGCTCCCGGCTGGCCTGGGCAGGGCCAAGGCAGCAGGGGCCGTTCCCTCACTGTTTCCAGGATGGCTTCGCGGGCCACATGAAACCATGTCGCGGGCCGCATCCGGCCCCCGGGCCTTGTGTTTGACATGTCTGATTTAGAGCCATACACAATATATTGTCTAATAGTTATAGAGACATATTTTAATTACCACTATAGAGGCATATTTGGATATCAAAGGATTATGACATGAGCTGGGAATAGCAAAGCAATAGCACTTAGATTTATATACTGCTTCATAATGCTTTACACAGAGTTCCCCAACCTTTCCAGCTTGGTGGCTCAGAAGGAAAGGGAGTTGTAGGAAAATGTGCACGCACACAGCCAACGGGCGTGTGCATGCACAGGTGGGCCATGTGCAAGTGGACCACACACACCCAGGACACGTGGATGCCCATGCGCATGCGCAAAAGGGCCACCAGCATTCATGTGATGCTGGTAGTGGTGCTAGCGTCCCCACACATGCGCAAGTGGGGCCACTAGTGCCTGCGCAGTGGTGCTACCGCGAGTGGGGCGGGGCCTCGCAAGCTATTTCCGGGGCCCGGTGGCCAAAAGACCGTGGATCAGTACCGGGCTGCGGACCATAGGTTGGAGACCCCTGCTTTACAGCATTCTTTGAGCAGTTTACAATGTCAGCATATTGCCCCCATTTTACCGACTTTGGAAGAGTGGAAGACTGAGTGTGGAAGGCTGAGTCAGTCTTGAGCTGGTGAGGATCGAATTCCCAGCAGTGACGTGAATTAACCTGCAGTACTGCATTCTAACTATTGTGCTATCGCAGCTCCTATAAAACAAACAGTGGGAAATCAGGAATGCTCCAAGCAAATTATTATTTCCTTATTTGTGCAAAATAAGTATAAGGAAAATAGAAGTAGAAAAGTTTTGCTTCTAACAAGTCTAAATTGGTTTATCTACAATAATATGTTCCAAGCATCATAAATGGGGATAAATAACATCAGTTACATTATTACCCACATATAAAATTTTCCTCAACGATTTGTTGTTAAGAATAGTTGCTTTCTATATAATTCATAATTGCTCTGTTCATTCATATCTAACATGAGAGACCCCTTCATGAATGTCTAAAATTATAAAAGTGTTAGTGTTTTATAACAATTAGAAGTTCGTTGACGTGGTACATAGGAGCTAAAGCTACATTATGTTGTTGGCTATAATTAGTTGACTGTCTGCTAAGAGTCCCCTTGGCAATTAATATTAATTTTCTTCTTTTCCAGGATAGCAATGAAATACTACATTAATTAAAATTGCATCATTTTTAACAGTGAAATTATAAAGAAATTGTTCTGGTCACAGCTTTATTTTAAATGTGGCAAATATATTGTCCCCTAGTGAATGAGACAGCAAAATGGTAGCGATCACATATTATTTCTTTTTGAATACTTTATTACCTGTGTATCAATGAATATTTTGAAATACATCTACTGAATATTCCAATAAAGAGCTTCTTGACTGTTTAATGTTTATATTGTATGATAAGAAAATGATCATATACTGTTGTTTATCTTATAATTCTATTACAATAGTAGAAGACAATAAAACGGACCCTTGCTCCAGCTACAAGAAAAAACAGAGATTTCTGCCTACCCACCCTTTGGCTTAGCAAGTTATATGTCTGCCATGGTAGATTACATGGCACAAGCCAGTAATGCATAAGCCAGTGATGAATCCCTAGTATGTCTGTCAAATAAACCAGCTTACTGCCTGAATTCCAGGCTGTTGATTATCATTGCTTTACTCTTATATAGATTCATCTTCAGCCATTTTAATTAATCTAGCTATCAGTAAGCAGCTAATAAGAATCTGGGTCAAAATGTATTTGAGAAAGAGGAGATTATCTTCTTTTCTGTGTTACTGCTCTTGGAATTCTTAAACCAGATTTCTCCAGCTCATGTTCTTCAGAGGTGATGCTCCCATAATTTGCATAAGGTGATTATGAGAAGGATGTTTGCAGTACATAGAGTATGCAGAGCACCTAAACATTTAAGTATGCAAACATGGCTGTAAAGCAAACTCCAGTGAATATTTTGAAACAAGTTCAGAAATACAATAGTTATGTCTTATTACTTAAAGACTGTCCTAGAGAAAGAGAAGAAACTTCATCAAATACAGTGATTTATGATCGCTATGGCTTTAAGTTATTGCAAGGGAAAACAGTCCTGAAGAGTAAGACATTGGAACTGAATTGCTAAATCCTCTTACAGAAAAGCAATAGCAATAGCAAAAGCAAAATAAAGCATCCTTTAAGTCATCTCAACACATAGAGGCTTCATGAGCAACCTTTGCTTTTTCTTTCTTGGTAGTAGTACAGAATTAGTTTATTATTGCCTCAGGGATTTTATTTTTACTTCCCCATTTATCCTACAACCTGAAATTTCCTGGTGATCTCCTTTTCAAATATTAATCAGATACAACCTCAGTTAGTTTTCAAGTTCAGCAGGCTTAAGGGGAGCAGCCTTGTATGTATAAATGCTATAATTTTATGCCTGGGTTTTCTTATGCAAACAGGACCATGCTACGTTTCACCTTTTGTTGTTCTTAAGGAAGACTTATTGAGACCATTCGTGATGCAATCTGTGTGAATAGAGTTTGTTTGTTAGGTTTGCAGCCAGCAGAAATTTTTGCTTTTTTAAAAAATATATATTGTATATTTCAAAAGGAAGCAACACCTTCCAATTTATTACAGAAACTGGGAATGTTTTACGTGGGAGTTTACTTCGCTGCAGAACTTGACAAGGTAATAGACAAACAGAGAATAAGACAAAACAACATGTTCCAAACTTGTTTTGACTGGGATGTGGTGGGTATATTTAGCAGGCAGTTCTCCAATACTTTATGCATGGAGAAGAGAGAGACAGTAATTAGAATTGTGACACCCTGAATTTACAGTATGGTTTGTCCTTTCTTAAAGGGTGAAGACTGCTGGAACATAGTCACAGAATCAGCATTTCTGGCAGTTCCTCTCCCCAAATTAATTTTGATTAATTTTAGATTAAGTGGATCTAAAAAGGCACTGGTGAGTTTTCTCACTGTCAAGTCCTGTAAATAAACAGTTCTGCAAGCAGATTTATTTCACATCACCTGCAAGAAGGAGGCAGCTCAGGGAGGCTAAAGGGAAGAGGGGGGGAAATTCCCCTAAACAACAATCTCTGTTATTTATAAGACCTCATAGAGTCCACCTAGTCTTTGGATCTCATATGCAGTTGATTTGTTTTTGTGTGGACTTGTATATCATATGATAAGGCAGGGGTCCCCAACCTTGGCAACTTTAAGACCTATGGACTTCAACTCCCAGAATTCCCCAGCCAGCATGACTGGCAGGGGAATTCTGGGAGTTGAAGTCCACAAGTCTTAAAGTTGCCAAGGTTGGGGACCCCTGTGAGGAGGAACAAAATCTCTGGGTACTGTATATACAGCCCAGCAAATACCTGCAACCTATGTAGGGTTTTTCAGGTTATTTTTACATATACACAATTTGCATTGCAAGGAGTCTCTTAAAAATCAGTTCATTTATTGTGACAAAAATGTATGTATATTTTGATGGGTTCTAATTGCATAATATTGGTGTAATATAATATAAGTTGTAGGAATAAGCATTGGTTTCCTGGAATGCTTACTTGCTTGACCACTTTTTATCAAATTCTCTCCAGAATACTTAAGACAGTATATATGATATTTTTCACTCCATGCTACTGATCAATCTTTACAGCTTCCTTTTCAAAACATAGATTAGCTCGAGGCTCCTCCCTGGATAATTTTTGTACATTAAAAACCAACATCTGATCCCCCAAAATGTTTGCTGCAGCAAAACATGACTGAGTCATTTGGTTTGGGGGAATTTCTTGTCCCAGTTCATCACAATAAGATCTGTATGTAGCATTTGATATGGAAATGCCTTAAACATGGTGATGAAAATATGATATTTTTTGCACCCTTGTGTATAATCAAACAAAACAAATCAAAGATATCAGACGATCTTTCCTTTGTTCCAGAGAGGAAAATGCATTTGTACATATGAACTGTTTTTGTGTTGGAGCTCATGTGTGTATCATAGCTCTTGTATCCAAAGCTCTTTACTTCTAGGAAGGAAAGAAAGACATACATGTGGACTTTGACAATGTTGTTAATCTCTTTACCTTTCATAACAGTTTTTATGCACAATAATCATTGCAGAGATTCCTTACATCCTACTATATTTTTTCTTTTTTTGCTAATGGACTGTATTAAATGAATTGCCTCAAGATTTTCTTTTGCAAGGCACTACTTTATTGTCTGGGAGAAGGGATTTTAATGTTCAATGTATTATATTCATATTACAAAACAAATGAGAAACATGATACATTATTTTAGATTATATAAAAATATTATAATACATTACTTTAGATTATATGATCCATGAAAAGTTCAGCAATCAAATAATGTATAATTTGGGTGGTTTATATCAGGGCTTTTCAACCTGTGGTACGGGTACTGCCTGTGGTACATTGGCACCTAGCAGGTGGTATGCAACCATCCTAGAAAAGTGGTAGTGGGAAAAGGGAATGAGCTGAACCGGTGACAGCACCGCATAAGCCTGGGCGAGAGATGGCTGGAGCTGCAGGGCTGTCAGGGCTCAGCAGAAGCACCAGGATCAATGCCGCTTTCCAGCTGATCGGCGTTTCTTTGGGCTGTCAGGGCTGAGCGGAAGTGCCAGGATCAGCATCAGGCTGCATCTGGAGCTCGGCGCTGATCCTGGTGCTTCTGCTGAGCCCCGAAGAAGCACCAATCAGCTGGAAAGCAGCACTGATCCTGGCACTTCTGCTGAGCCAAGAAGCGCCGATCAGCTGGAATGTTGCAGCATCTCCAGGGTCTTGTGATTTACATTCAGATGCTTGGCAACTGATTCATATTTATGACAGTCACAGTGTCCCAGAGTCATGTGAAACAACCAAAACCTGCTGCAACCACCCAGCAGACGGGGGGAATAAAAACCAAACACCCCACCCCACCCCACCCCGCTGCCAGTCCTCAACAGAAATGCTCACAACAATGAAAACCTCGGACAGGAGGAAGAGCACCGCCGGGTGGGCAGGCAGGTGTCTTGCTCGGCTGTGGCTTGGGGGGCACTTTTTTCAGTGCCATTGTAACTTCAAACAATCACTAAGCAAACTGTTGTAAGTCGAGGACTACCTGTACTTTATCACTTTTTTTTTTTTTTTGGTCATCAAGTTTTTGATACTTGCTAAGCAACTGGTGGTACTCGGATATTGCCATATCCTAAAAGTGGTACAATGGGTGAAAAGTTTGAAAAGCCCTGGTTTATATGGTCCAAGCATAAATTATTTCTTCTAAAAATATTGCTACAATATGCTTCAACAAATGGAAGACTAACTTTGAATCACTTGTAGTTAGATAGCAAACTAGGATCAAGTCCTATTTGAAGAACTCTTTGCAAAATATGGTTAATGGAATTATGTTATGATACAATGGCCAAACTGACAAACAATGACTAATACCATTGCTCTGCTGCCAGATTTCTTTATATCATAGAAGAAAGGATTGAGTAGGTGGCAAGAAATGCAAGCAATTGTAAATAACAGCTGATTGGATAAATAAAGCAGAAAACAAAGCATTCTAAACTATAACTTATCTTTTGGAAAATATGACAGTCTGACTCCAGATTATGCTGAATGCCAAAAAGATACCATGATCAGCATTGTCAAATGCCACCAATACTTCTTACAGGACTACAAAGAAGTTCATGTAGTTCCTGACTAAAGTCATCTTCCAGAATGACCTATTCTGTTTCTGTGCTGTGACAGAAAGGAATCTAAATAGTCTACGCCTTCTAAGATCCTGTATCCTGAATTCCCAACCACCTTCTCGACCACCTTCCCTAAAGAGGGAAGATTGGAAACTGGTTTGAAGTTGTTTAATGTGGCTGAATTGAAGGATAGCCTCTTGAGCGGCAATATATTACCACTTCCTTCAAGGTGGAAGGTGGTAGAACTTTGTCCTTCTGTAGAGAAGCATTAACTTCCTCCTGAATCTGGATGTAGTTTCCAGCATCACCACTGTTCATACACAACTTTGACTAAGAATTTCTGACAATGGTAACTCATTCTTTGGTCATCATGTAATTTGATTGTTGCAGTATGTTCTACATTTTGAAGGCAATCCCAAAGTAGCAATGAGTTCAGAAAACAGTGACCAGACTGTTGGCAGAAGAAATGTACTTTTGTAGGGTCCTTCCTATTCTGCAGTTGCTTTATTTTGCATTTTCTTTGGAAGTGGACTTCCAAGACCACTTCAGAGTTCTGGTTATAACATATAAAGTCCTATATATCATAACGTCAGAATATATCAGGGGCCACCATATTAAACATGATCTTGGCTGTCTTATCTGAACTTCTAGAGAGGGCTTACTTAAGACCCCTCTCCCCATCCTCCTGGAGTTAAGAGAAGTATAAGTTAGAAAACAAACCTTCTCAGAATTGGATTTTTCATTATGAAATGTGCTGTCCCAGAAAGACACCATTTTTACTTCTGACAGTTTGGTGTGTGTGCATTGAACAATCATTTTGTCTTAACATATCTTTGCCGTTTTGTGAGGTAGTGTGGCAACCATCTAGTGTTTATGTTTATTGCAAAGCGTTTTTAATGTATTATGATTTTGTATATTGACCAGATTGATTAAATTGGGGATGTATATAAATGTTGTCAAATAAATACCATTAAAACAGTCTTTGCCCTTTAGCTGCTAATCATTATAAACACTGATTATCTGATTCATCAGCATTTTTTCACATAACAGGCATTCAGGTGCAAGCAGCTGCTTATGTATGTATGTATGTATGTCCAAACACATGTAGTCCATCAGGACTTGTTAAAGGAAGCAATATTTCAAAATATTTTACTTACAGATAGACTTATCTGATTTTGCAGGAATTCTCTTCTTCTTGATTGACCTACCTTTTTTATTGGCTAGGTGGATTTTGTAAAATGTTAATATTATTTGAGTATAATTGACTTTCCAAAATCCAGAGATACCCTGTGATATATCTGCAATAAAATAGGAGCTATGCAAGGTGAAAATATATGCCTTTCAGGAGATTCAATCCTTCCCTTGTGAAAAAGAAATTTCCCTTCTTGACTCCCCTACCTTCAGAGAGCCATTGAGATGTATTGATTAATATCTTGTTTCCTTGTGAAGAAGACATTCCCTTTCCTGACTCCCTACCTTCAGGTGTATTGATTAAATTGTTGGATTGACAGCAGAGAGACCTAGATTCTGCTCTCACCCATGAACTTCCTGGATCAGATCAAATAATTTTCATTTAGCTTACAGAGTATTTCTGGGGGGGAAATGGGAGGAAGGTGCTGTGAGTCAAGATCATGAACAAAACTCAGCATGTAAATCTAATAAACGAGTGTTTTCCCATGATATTATAGTCTCTGAAGTTATCCTAAGCGTCTCTGTCATAGATAAATTACGTAAAATCCTACTGAAACATTCTTGCACAACACATTTACAATAGCACTAATAATCTCTTTATGATTATTGTTATGTTTGGAACTCTTAAGTGCCTTTTTAATTTTATTTCTTAATTTGACTCTTTGTTTTACAGATGAGGGCAGAAGTGCTGTTGACCATGCAGGTGGGGCACAGATTGTAATAGACCATTTAAGGTCACTGGGCAGTAAAACAGATCCAGCCAATGAGAAGCTCTTGACTGTCTTTTGTGGCATGCTGGTGAACTATAGCAATGAGAATGGTAAACATATATGCTAAAAAACTGTCTTACCTATACCTTTATCTATCTACACACCTATTAGAAAAATAAATGTAGGGCTTATAAATTGAAAAACAAAGATGGGCGGCCAATTAATTTTATAAATAAATTAATAAAACTCAAAAGAAATTACCTTGATTTTAAGTGAAATAGTGTTTTTGATTTTATTAATTAAATTACTGCAACGTTAATATGTATCGTCAAAAAAGTCAATGCATACCTGTCCCATTTCAGACTTCCATGTCCTTCTCTGTGTGCTGGGAGTTTCTAGAAAAGTAGGTACTCCCATTCTTTTTAATGGAAGTGATAGCTTGAGTGAATGGGAGAAAGATTTTATAGCAGCTTCTAATTGCTAGGATAATGTACATAGCCAGGTGAGCTCTTCGCTTGCGCAGTGGCTTGTCCAACAGTAATTGTCCTTCTACACACTACCACCACAAAACTTGAGAAAGAACTTTCATGTTTTATGGTGGTGACTATAATTTTACATCCCTTTAAAACTCTGCCTATGTTGCGTTTAGATTCCAAACTTCATAAGCCTCAAAGTGTTCATATATAAGTTTTGTTCATTCTTCCCTTCCCTGTTTTTTGGTACACAAGGATCTGTATATAGAGCCCCTGTTCCAGGCATAAGGAGGGCAAGGGGGTGGTTTTCAAAAGGCTCTTGTGTCAAAATTGGCACTTGAGAAGAAGAGAAATAAAGGACAGATACACATTTTTGATACTCTTTCTCAGTTTCATAGATGCCAGGAATCATTAAGAACCAGGTCAGCCTCTGACTGGTGTCTATGTATTGGGAACTTGCTTATATGGAAACACAAAGGTGAATATTTATAATAATACATTGTTTTCTTCTTAAGAAACTTATATTAAACTTCTATAACCTTTCTTGTAGGTGTCATCTGCCAATCTGCCATCTCTCACTCTGTTAACTCTTCTCATTCACATGTTTTTTACCTGTAACATTGTTTCAATTTAAATGTTTGTTTGTGTGTATGTGTGTGTGTGTGCGCGCGTATGCTGAAATAACTAACTGGATTTCCTTGAACTTCTCTTGAATGAGGGAGTCATTATTTCCAACTGATAGTCCTCACAATATAACACTAAATGAACTACTAATTCTACCCAAGAGAAACATTTCAAAGAAAGTCCTCTAGTGGATGCCAGGTCTCCAACTAAATTATCATAATTAATAAAATCTGCACATGACTGTGTATGTTTTCTTAATGTTTATGTGCCAAGGCACACTTAGAAAATTTGAGTCTGAAAATACTGCTCATGGTTTCTCCTTTTACTTGGGGTATACTGCTTTATTTTGGTAGAGTTATGTATTTCAATGTTAGCAACCAATGTGACTTCCAAACTTGGAACCTTCTCCCATTTCTGCAGCAGCTCCACAATCTGAAGCTCTATCTAGTCAACACCAGCTGTCCTTGGAGTCAGGTGTCACAACCATGGCAAAGAAGTAGACTACACACAATTATGGCTGGCATGCCAGCTGTGATTCTTCCTGAACTGGTCAGGTTTGGCAACAGCAATCCATGGTTATATCTAATCTTTTAAGCTGGTCATCTCACAAGAAAGCTATTCATAGGGTGTCCTTTGAAATATGTCTGGAATTTGCATTTGATGTGAAACATAAAAACTAGACTACTAACCTGTACAAGATACAGGGATCCAGAAGGTTTGCCCTGATTGTCAAGTGCTTCCTGAGCATAATTTAAGGTAGATGTGTTTGTAATTCTATTACTATTTCAGGCCTTAAAAATCTTTGAGCTCTGTGTATGTATGCTGCTGCAGAAGGACTCCTTCTTAAGACGCTTCATTGCCTATCTGGTGCAGAAGAATTCTGCAGTACGCTTGGGCTGTTGAATGTTCTTCAAGAGCTGATTTTGACTCTCATTATCTCAGCATATAGAAAATACATGTTGCCTTGATTGGTTTATATTTTACCTTTTTATATTTGTCTTTGTTCTTTGAAATCTGAAATAAGCAAAAAAGAGGATGATAACCAACATTCTACTTTGATAATTTTATCTACCAAGGCTTATGACTTGTTAACTGCTGTTTGAAAGCTGTTTCTAATGACAGCTAGAATTATGTTGTAAGTGGAAGTAGATTGTGTGATATGATCTAATGAGTATTATTGAGATTCAAAACATTTACATGGAATTTGTATGTTTAGTTATCCTTTGTTTGTATTATTCTGTTACTTGATATTCAAAAGTTACTGATGTAATAGCACAGGGTGAACTTAGTGTAGGTAATCCTCACATATCATTTGCCTGAAAATTATGATTGTACTGAAAAAGTAGTTTTACAACCCATACTCAGAACTTGTGGCAGTTGTAGCATCTCCATAGTGATCATGAATTGGACACTTGGAAACTGGCATGCATTTAGGATGATTGCGGTGTCTCCAGTCATGTGATCAGTATTTGTGACCATTAGAGCTGGTTTCCAATAAGCAAGGTCAGTGTGGAAGCCAGCAGGATCTTGCAAATCATAGTCACAGGCTATAGTACTTAATGACCCATAGTGATTCGCTTGACCTCAGAGGAACTTATGCAATGCTGTAAGTCCAGCATGGTTACATTATATTTTACTTAATGACAGAATAGCCAGTCCTTTTTGTATTTGTTAAATGAAATCTGCTTGTATTTAGAACAGTGTCTTAAATTGAATTTCACATTTTCTTTTGGGTGAGTCATGAAGAATATGGAACCATTGAAATTAAGAAGTGGCCTAGATTTGGCTTTTTAATGAAACTTGATGTTAAAGTAATGCTGTATTTGTCTGATTGCTCATGTTTTAGAATATATTTTATATTACAGAATTAATTTACATTACAGTGAAGACTTAATTCAGCTAATGAAATCATACTCCTGGAACTTTAAATGCATAGATCCTATTTTAAGCAGTTATGCTGCAATACCCAGTTAATCTTAAAAAATCTAAGTGGTCTTGGACCTAGTTGTATTTGAATAGAAAAGTAGTAGAAAAACCTCTGTACTGTTGATTAGACCTGGAAGTTTTAAATAATCCTGGAAAAGAAACAATGTCAGACAGCTTCTGTTTAATTAAGAAAATATGGATTTGAGGTTAACTCAATTCTTAGATGGTGAATGAAACATTTTTCTTCCAATTAAGGGCCACATGATATAATACTACAAATGAATGAAGCTATGTGAGTGGATAAATAATGGATGAAAGGACATTTTTTAGATGTGTTGTGCATTTCTAATGTTTTCCCATCTTTTTTATATAGTATGAAATTACACCTTCATTTGTAGATAGAATGACATAACATGTTCAAGTATAGTATAGGGCGTACCTTGCTCAATAGTAGTAACTGTGAGAGGGATCTTGGAGTCCTAGTAGACAATCATCTAAATATGAGCCAGCAGTGTGCTGCAGCTGCCAAAAAAGCCAACACAGTGCTAGGCTGCATTATGAGAGGGATAGAATCAAGATCACGTGAAGTATTAATATCACTTTACAATGCCTTGGTAAGGCCACACTTGGAATACTGCATCCAGTTTTGGTCACCACGATGTAAAAAAGATGTTGAGACTCTAGAAAGAGTACAGAGAAGAGCAGCAAAGATGATTAGGGGACTGGAGGCTAAAGCATATAAGGAACAGTTACTGGAATTGGGTATGTCTAGTTTAACGAAGAGAAGGACATGATAGCAGTGTACCAATATCTCAGGGCTGCCACAAAGAAGAGGGAGTCAAGCTATTTTCCAAAGCGCCTGAAGGCAGGACAAGGAGCAATGGGTGGAAACTAATGAAAGAGAGAAGCAACCTAGAACTAAGGAGAAACTTCCTGACAGTTAGAACAATTAACCAGTGGAACAACCTGCCTCCAGAATCAGTGAATGTGCCAACACTGGAAGTTTTTAAGAAGAAACTGGACAGCCATTTGTCCGAAATGGTATAGGGTTTCCTGCCTGAACAGGGGGTTGGACTAGATGACCTCCAAGGTCCCTTCCAACTTTATTATTATTATTATTATTATTATTATTATTATTATTATTATTATTATTATTATTATTATTATTATTATCTTTGATCATCACAAAAATCCCGAATCTTAAAAACATGGGTCTCTGTTCTTACATGATGATCCTAAAAATATTAAACATGAATGCTTATATCACAATATAAGCTATGCTTTTTTGTATTTGCATTGTGGCATTACATAAAGTTTGCACACAACATTGTGACACTAATTTCATCACCCCTCTCCCTCCCTCTCCCTAATCCTATAAATTGTAAATTGCCTTCCCTGGCAGAATGAAAACTGCTATAAAAGAAATTCCTTGTTCATCCTGCTTGCTATACGTTATGTTTTCTGCCATGTCTTTCTTTATCACAGAACCATAATTTGTGATCCCAAATTTACATGAAGCATTTCAAGTTAAAGGAGAATGGATTTTGATTTACCTAAACATGTAGAATAGAAATGCAGTTATCTTTAAAATAGATTGTTTCCTTGCCTAAAATTATACTTCGTCAGCTTTGTAATGGTGAGGTGTGTGGAAGGCCTATTGATAAATAATCCCAGTGAGTGGCTTTTCATGTTGATTTTCTAGAGCTGAACCAAACACTTTAATCATGTTTGTATTTGCCTACTGTTGGCAAAAACTATTATTGCTATTTTTTTTAAATAAAAGAACTACTTCTTTTAATCCAGATAGTTTAAGGTGAGCCTATAATAGGAACACGTTATTTTTTAAATGCAATTTGTATATGTCTTCTCAGAAGCAAGTTCCACTGACTATACTCTGAATTGTATGAATCTGCCTATAGAAAGCGTCTATCAGCCAAAATTAAGGGATTATTAAGTATATGAATTAGACCAGTGGTTCTCAACCTGTGGGTCGGGACACCATTTGGGGTCGAACGACCATTTCACGGGGGTCGCCAAACAACACAGTCCGCCATTTTTTTCCCCCTTTTCCTTAGCTGTGCTACTCCCTTTTATTCTATTGGCTTTTGAAAGCCAATAGAATAGACTCTCTTGAATAGAGTCTAATTCTATTGGCTTTCAAAAGCCACTAGGAATTGTCCAGACTGTCTCTGCCCTGCTGAGCCCGCCAAAAGTCCCATTCTGCAAACGGTGCTGCACCAGTTGAGTAGTCCTCGACTTATGACCAGTTGAGTAGTCCTTGACTTACGACCGGTTGGGGGTCACGGCATTAAAAAGGTTGAGAACCACTGAATTAGACTGATATAAATGCAGTCTGAGTGCCAGTTTTGTGTACTAGGTAAGGTATCAGGCTAGAAAGTAGGAAGCCATGATTTCTAGGCCCATCTTAGGTGCAAGCCAATTGTGTGACCTTGGGCCAGTCACTTTCTCTCAGCCCTTAGAAAGAGCCAGTTGCAACCATTTCCAAGGAGTCAAGAAAACTTCTGGGGGTTATCTAAGCAGTCTCCAAGAATTGGATCCGATCGAATAGGGAAAAAAAAGTGCAATCTAAGCTGGGAGTCAACAGCATAGTTCCTACTTGAGTTTAACTCACTCTTCAAGTTTTTCAAAAGTTCAGGCCAGAAGGAAGCCAGTTTGTTATCTAGACGTATTTTATATCTCTTCGATTCTTGGGCTGTTCACTAATTTAGGGATATATAGATTACGAGTAGTTAATGGTGATGCTTTTTAACGTCCCATACATATAATTTCAACTGGTTCAGAAAAAAACTGTTTCAACATTTCTATTTATTGAAAAGGTAAGACTATCTAACATAAAAGAGTGTTCATATTTAGAAAATAATAAGAAAAAATATATTATCCTAAATTGGTGTTCCCCAACATCTTGGACTGTAATCTTTGTTTTAACTTTTAAAAATTGAGTGGTATATCTCAACTGATAATATCTACAAAAAATGTGAAGTAAAAATGTATACTTCTAAATGTTACAAATTTGCCAAACAGTAGCCTCACCCCAGTGGTACTTTTCCTTGCATCTTCTATTCTTTGATGAACTTTTTTCTTGAATGGCTTGCAATTTGTGTAGTGATTGCTTGTTTGTCCATAAAAATATTTGCCTTTGCTGTAGGTGAAAGTTGAATTCTACATTTATTCTTCGTACATCAGGCCATTGACTAAATTTATAATCTACAAATAATGTTTGAAATCTAACATTATTTTCAGATTAGTTTTCTAATCCCAGCTACTCTTTTTAAGAAAAATTTGTTTGGGGGAAAACTGCTTTTGACATATTCCTATGAGTATTAATTTTTACTAAACAGACACTCTCATACATAATTCTTCAAAAAGTATGTCATGATGGATAACACTTTTTTTTTATCAAAGAGTTAATGTGATTCTTATTTCATTGTGCTAAAGGTAGACATGTAGTTATTTGAAATGCTGAGATATATATTTTCAACAGTTTTAAAAGAGATTTGAAGACTCCTAAATAGACATTTGCTGAACAGCAGTTCTCATGTCACTAGGAGATATAGTTTACCAAAACTTGGAAATTGATACCTTGCTTGTTTTGTTTGTGACAATCTCTATTAAATACTGTGATCTTTCACAAGGTCACCCACATACTGTATGCAGGCATTCAGCTGGTGGGAAAATAGATAACAAAATATCACACTTCTCATCTCTGTTATATTTCAGTATACATGTGGAGATAGATTCATCTCCTCATATCTAAACTGCAAAGGATTAAATTTTTCACCTGCACCAATAATAGTTTTGCTCAGGATCATAGCAACTTAAAAAATAAACAAGGAATTGAATCCAATTGTGGTTGGATTTAGTTGTTTATATAATTGCCATCAGTAGGAAATGGTTTGTGTTATTCCATTGATTTCACTGAGCCTGCTCAAAAAATAGTTAAATCTAGATCCAACCCAGTGTTAGTATACAATACTTAGAAACTTGAATGTGCAAAAACTGGTGGATTGTTGACAGCAAAAAATTCTACTTACCTTCTTGTTAATAGATCTGATGCCTAGGTCTCTAAAATGTATAGTATTTCCCAAATGACCACAATACTTGCACTTTTATAATTAAAAAAAACAAGGATAATCTCCATAAACTACTTTTTCTAGGATTTGGGAACATTTTTCACTATGTAATTAAAATTATATAAAACTAACATTATTAGATAAAAATGCTGAGGTAGTTTCTCACATGCATAGAACATTTTCTTTCCATGATAGCTCTGAATGCTAAGCAGATATCTGAGGAACAAGAAAAATAATTGTATTGTACAATTGCAGTTGCCTCAATGACATGTTGCTGGTACTGGACAATAATTAAGGAGCCAGTTATTGGAGGTTATATTGCAAAGTGAAACTGTAATTTAAATGTGTTTGCCTTGTTTGTTTGTCTTATCTTTAGATACTCTGCAGTCTCAGCTCATCAACATGGGAGTTATTCCTACATTAGTGAAGTTGTTGGGCATCCATTGCCAAAATTCGGCTTTGACTGAAATGTGCCTTGTTGCCTTTGGAAATCTAGCAGAACTTGGTAAGTTTTGGATGCAACATCAATTGCAACATTTTAAGTATTTTTAATGGGGATGTATGGATGGAAAAAATAGTGCTACTGTTGTCATTTGTGTTTTTCTCTAGCCAATCCAGTAATTTTTTTTACTGCTTTCTTGCTACTGACATTCCTATTCTATTCACTTTTCAATAAAAAATATTGTACACTGGATAAAAGAACAATGTCCTAAAGAAAAAGCTGCAGTGCAGATTTGTATGATTGGGAATTTACATGCTTGTACAATGATATAAGGCACTTGAAGTGCATTGCATGCAAGCGTAGAATGAGACAGTCATCAACCTTCTTCAGTCAATAGAACAATGTTTGATAGAAAAACTTAAGGAGGAAATTAGAAGTGAAAAGACATTTCAGAATATTGCAGTAGGCAAGGGGATCAAATTCCTCACAGTTACTTGTTGCATTCTCACATTCTGTGTGATGAAAGAAATTGCTTATGAAGTTTCTTTCAAAGAAGAAAATTTTGATGAAATTAAATTCTGATATCCATGCATTTATTAAATTGCAGGGCACAGATGTCTCCCTTGCTTTGTAATTATCTCTCCTGTGGTTACAGCATTCTTGACTTCCTCATTCACAGCAAAACGGTAGCCAGCGTGGTGCAGTATTTAAGATACTAGTTTGGGAGTGAGAAGATCCAGATCAAAGGCTACCCTTAAGCACAGGAATGAGTTCCTTGCTCCCAACCCAGCCTTTCTTGACAGAAGAGGTGTTATAGGGATAAAAATGAGGGAGTTCCCTATGTAAATTGTAATATTAGTTTAACAAATAAATTCAATCTGTTGCTCAAATCTTTTCCTTTGCTTCAGTCATCTTCTGTCTAGGCTTTAAAAAATTTAGTCCACTAAATATTAACACCATCTATGATAGTGGAAATATTTGCCAACTTAACCTTGGTTACCTTACCACCCTAAAAGGTGTGAGAGAGGTCAGTAAGCCCAAATATTACCTCTGTGCCTTAGGTTAGCAGACAAAGCAGTTCGAGCAGAATACCTACAGTAGATGTTGCTGTTTTGAAATGGAACAAATTTCACTAGTTTATAGCCATTAAAATACTAAGGCAGCGGACCTGACCTTTAATTTTAGCATTTGGTGATCTAATACACCCATTAGGTAGTTTTCCTTATTTGTCTGAAGGCAGCCAAAGGCTAATATGCTATGTCTGGGTATAATCACCTTTTACTGGGTGCAGTTTCAAATAGTTGTTAATAATTCAGGTCACTAGGCCTTAAATTTCCTAGTCATTTTTCTTTTCATTTAGTGACAGTTTTAAGAAGAGGAGTGTATTATTCCTGACAGTATAGTCAGTGAACTCCATTAATCACTGCATTGTGACCTGTTTAAGAAACTGAAAAGAAAATAATTCTGCCATTTGATTTTTGTTCCTTTATGTGCTTAACTTCTTGCTTTTTAATTGCACAGAATCAAGTAAAGAACAGTTTGCCTACACAAATATTGCAGAAGAACTTGTGAAGCTCTTTAAAAAACAAATAGAACATGATAAGAAGGAAATGATATTTGAAGTTTTGGCTCCCTTGGCTGAAAATGGTGAGATTTTGAGTACCAGTTTTATTTCTAAATGATTTAGTGATATTTCCTTTATTGATATTTGTGATGCTGGCTGGTGAGACATCTCATTGTGGAAGCTTGAACACCCTTTATTTATTTAGCTACATATGAATGTGCATACACACAAATATATATTTTAAATCAGTGATTTAAGGAAAAAGGGATGGATTTGGCATGCAGTGGAAATGATTTTTGGTATAGTTACGTATATGAGACTGAAAGAACTCTTTTAAACTTACATTTGTAAGGTTTGCTTTATCTTAAATTTAAGAAGTTGGATGAAATCTGTTGTTATGATAAAACTTAATCTTACCAAGTTGTGTAGGACTGAAATCTTATTTATTCATTAATTCCTTTATTTTGTTGATCAATGCATTTATTTGCAGAAAAGATTGAAAAGTAAACAGTGCAACTGAGCACTTATAAAAGCTTACTCTCATTAGTTTTATGTACAGATAGTCCTCGACTTACAACAGTTCGCTTGGTGACTGTCCAAAGTTACAACAGCATTGAAAAAAGTGACTTATGACCATTTTTCACACTTAAGACCTTAGCAGCATCCCCATTGTCACATGATCAAAATTCAGATGCTTGGCAACTGGTTCATATCTATGACTGTTAACTGTGTCCCAAGATCATGTGATCCCCTTTTGCAACTTTCTGACAGGTAAAGCCAATGGGAAAGCCAGATTCACGTAACAACCAGGTTACTAACTTATCAACTGCAATGATTTACTTAACCGTTGAGGCAAGAAAGGTGGCAAAATGGGGCAAAATTCACTTACCAAATGGCTCATTTAACCACAGAAACGTTGGCCTCAGTTGTGATCATAAGCTGAGGACTACTGTTCTTGTATTTTTATTGAAGAAAAAATCTACCCTATGATGTTGTAATTTAACATATTGTGTACCATACATGGTAACTTGGATCTTAAGAATCAGAATGTTAACCACACATTTGAACAGTTTTGTATACAACTGTTCAAAAAGAGCCATCTATTACTGAAGGTGATAATGCACTTTTCCTGTCTGTGGATGTTCAAGTTGAGGGTAAAAAGCCACCTAAAACAGCATTTTCTGTATTATGCAAGGAGTTTCCCAGAGTGCTACCAGATTTCTTCCGGCTCTTTGGTTCTAGAAAAGAGACCGCAATTTACTGATATGGATCCTGATTGATTGATTCGTTGATTGATTTTTAAAGACTTTTATAGCCATAGTAAGCAACAGCTATAAGCAGTATAGCTTATTGTAAACCCCGAATAGCTCACAAAAAATAAAAACAACTAACTTCCCCTAAAATCAGAATAAGAACTCAATAAAAACTTGATTCCTTCACCGTATGATGAATGTGGGCAGGCTCCAGAGCTCTATATGGGTACCTGCTCCTCATTTGTGCATCCCAGATTTATTTATTTATTTATTTATTTATTTATGAGACTTATATACCGCTTTAAGTGCAAGCACTCTCTAAGCGGTGTACACCAGTAAGCAATGTATATATATATTTACATTGCCCCCAACAATCTGGGTCCTCATTTTACCTACCCCGGAAGGATGGAAGGCTGAGTCAACCTTGAGCCGGTGAGATTTGAACCGCTGACCTGCTGAACACAGTCAGCTAAAGTGGCCTGCAGTACTGCACTCTAACTGCTGCGCCACCTCTCCTGCCACAATTGCCAGTAATACAGTGGAAAATAAAAAAAAGGCTAAAATTGGCTTTATATTTTAAAAATTTAGGACTTTTTTTTAAAAAAAAAAAGTTTTAAATTTTTCTCCCGATCCCAGAAAAATAGAAAAGCCTGGCCTCCATGCTTCCAAGGCCTCCTGTTTCACAGAGCAGAAGTTGGTGGATTTATTTTGAGGTTGTCCTTTCTTGAACAGCATGACTGATGGAGCTCAGTGAGCCAAATAAAACCGGGGGGGGGGGGATTATTTGCTTGATATTGATTTCTCAGGTACTTGACATTCAGGACTTGTATCTATAGAAATAGGAAGATGCCCAGAACATCTGTTTCTGTTTGTATTACCATAATTCACCCAAGATGCTTTTGCATTATTAAAAAATATCTTGGGGGAGGGAGATAGCTTTAAAAAACCAGTAATCTTACTATTTTGAAAACTCTCCTGCATAGAATTTAACAGAAAAAAAAATTCTATAACTATTTGTGAGAATCTTATGCAACTGATTGTCACCGAAGTGCCTGTTTGTTGATAATGGAATTTAGGCATTGCCTTAACTGAAGTAGTTTATCTATCTATCTATCCATCAATCCATCCATCCATCCATCCATCCATCTAGAGGTAGAGACAAATACAATATAAAATGTCAAAGCCACTGTCCTGGATAAAATCCAGAGCATAAAGGAATACATCAATAAGACGACACCCAAAGATTGCTACTGAGAGAGTACCTGAGGCAGTAGCAGACATGGGAGGTAAATGAAGCAGAGGAAGTGCCTTGTCAAGACAACACCCTGCATGGAATGGACCAGTGACAGATACCTGAAGTGACAGACATTGGGAAATACTCCCAGTGGCTGGAAAGGGCTAAACTAAAAGGCACCACTGAGGCACTGATCATAGCAGCACAAGAACAGGCACTAAATGCCAAATCCATAAAAGCAGGAATCTACCACACTAGGCAGGACTCAAGGTGCAGGGAAACCCCAGAGATAGTTTATCACATAGTAGGAGGGTGTCAGATGCAAGCAGGAATACTATACTGAATGGCACAGCAAAGTAGCTGGCATTGTTTACAAAAACATCTGTTTACAGTATATGGGCTAGACTCTCCAAAATCCAAATGAGAAATCATAGAAGGTCATAGAGAATAAAAGGGCTAAGATCCTGTGGGACTTCCAGATATAGAAGATAGGCAGATACCAGCTAATCAATCAGATATTGTGGTAGTAGATGAGGACCAAAACACAGGAGTAGATGTAACATGCCAAATGACAGCAACATCAGGAAGAAGAACTGTGAGAAGCTGGAGAATACTAGGCTCTGAAGGAGGAACTGGAGAGGATGTAGAAAGTAAATGTCAAAATGGTCCCAGTGATGGTAGGAACATTGAGGGCTGAGATTCCTAAGCTGGGATCAACAGATCCCAGGAACGACATCAGAGATCCCTGTCCAGAAGTATAGTGCTAGGAACAGTTAAGATATTGTGTAGAACCCTCAAACTCCCAGGCCTCTGGTAGAAGACCTTAGATTGAAGAAGACACATATATCACTCATAAGGGTGGTGAAAAGAAAACATTTTATATATTCATTCATTCTTCATTCCAATTATACAGCTGCACTCATTTAGTCGTTAAAGAACTTTTAACAGTATCCAAATAAACTGAATGAATGAATAGTGTCTGCACCAATATTGTAGTAAAACATGTTGTTTCATGAGGATGTTGGGATTTTCTCATTCATCATTTAGATATCATTAAACTGCAGCTGGTTGAAGCAGGCCTTGTAGAGTGTTTACTTGAAATAGTCCAAAAGACAGTAGACAGTGACAAAGAAGATGACGTTACTGAGCTTAAAACTGCTTCTGATCTCATGGTTCTTCTACTTTTGGGAGGTAAGTTTGATGTGGGAGGTAAGTTTGATCCCATATCAGTTATAGGCCACTTACTACATTACATAGGAAAACCCTAACATTTCTTCCACCTCCAAAAAAACACAACTCACTTTTTTTCATAAACAAGTACTTTTTAAAACCTTTTTCTTGATATGAGGACTTACTCTGCTGATTTTTTTTGTGTTAGTGAAAATTATAATTAATACAGTTTTCTATTTAAAAACAATACTGAACTTCTACCAGACACAATAAAAAATAAAAATACAGTGCATTTAAAAGATTAAAATATGCAGATGTTTATCAGAAACACAAGAAAATATTTCTAGGTTTGTTAAGGCTGTGGCAACTTTTATGTTGCTAGCTTGGAAAAAGAAGTGGATGCAGCTTTTCTTGACTCTGACATCACTGCAAGAACCCAAAAGCAATGTCTGGTTTATAGATGAGAACTTAGAGATGAACTATGGGCAATGTGGGGTTTTTTCCTTCTTTCTGGCTACATATGGTTTTGCTTCCAGATGAATCAATGCAAAAATTATTTGAAGGAGGAAAAGGCAATGTGTTCCAGAGAGTGCTTTTATGGATCCCTTCTAATAGCCATCAACTTCAACTCGCAGGAGCATTGGCAGTTGCAAATTTTGCCAGAAATGGTGAGAATATTAGTACTTAAAAGTAAAGCGCAATTGTGTTGCTCTGTGTATTTTTGTATCTAGCTGCATTTAAAAGAGTCATATACCAGCCTGTCTTATGTAAAGATTTGTTTTCCTACCTTAGAACTTACATAGCACATGATGAAATGTGAAGTCTTCTAAATATAAAATGAAAGATGAAATGGTTAACTAAAGGGACAGGCAGAATGCCAGTTGAAATTTTGCTTTCAGGACATGTTTTATTAAAAGTACTTTAATGTTTTAGATGGGGAACAATCTATTTCCACTCAGTGCTGCATTTAACCTTTGAACGGCATGTTAGGATGTAGTTCAAATGCAGTCAATAAATGTAAAATGACTTCATAATATTAGGATGATTGCTCAGATGGATTTAATAACTGTTCTTTTCTACCAGCTGTCCCCCAACTATCAAAATGGTAATACCTTTTGGAGAAGAATGTAACTTAGAACTTTCTGTACATCTTTGGTTAAAAGAGAGAAAGGGATATATTTTCACTAAAGAAGAGATACTTCCAAAAAGCAAGCTATGCAAAGGCTGGGTGGGATTGGCTGTATATTTAAAGAAGTAACATCTGGTCAAAAAAATCATTGGAAAAATAAGTGTGAATGCAGATTTAAAGAGGTGCTAGATAAGTACATAGAATACTATTCCAAAATTGCTTAGTTTTTCAATAGTTTACCTCTCCTTTCAAAGATTCTTCAATTTTTCTACCTCATTAATAGAAGAAATTAAGGATTTGTTTCCATTTTTTCTTGGAGATATTGAGCTTATTTTATTGGAGGTGGCAGATAGCTAGTCCTTCCTGTTACACCTCTTTCCACCCTTCTAATGTTTCCCGAACTGAAAAAGCTCATGGAGCAAAGTTTTTCTAAATGTAAAGTCTTTGGGTATAAATATATTTGGATTTAATGGAAGACTTGACAAAAGATTGCAAACCTTTTCTAAGTTTAACTAATAATGTCCAAACTCTACTTTTAAATTAAATTCTGTCCTGCCATTGGATAAATCCAGGGTACAAAAATAGCCATGGTACTTAAAGAAACATGAATTGATGATGGTCTGCCTTCATCTGCAGATGGAAACTGTATCCATATGGTGGACAATGGTATTGTCCAGAAACTGATGGACTTATTGGACAGGCATGTGGAAGATGGAAATGTGACCGTGCAGCATGCGGCACTGAGTGCTCTCCGAAATCTTGCAATTCCTGGTAAGCACATTACAGCAACATTCTTAGTGATTCCAAAGTTAGTAGGCTGATGCTTTGCTCTATAAATATCATGTTTACCATCTGTATCTATTTACTGAAAAGAAAATCCCACCTTGTTTTTAGACCTTATTATTCTTCCTGGCTGAAATCTTATCTTTGTTTTTCTAATCAAAGAGCTACAGTGGGAGAATAGTATTTACAAGTTACCACCTTTAGGAACCTGGTGATGACCATGTGTATTGCAACAACTCCCAGGAGGCCAAACCATAAATGCCAACATAATTGCCAGATTGGAAAAGGTTGAGCTTAGCTGTTTTAATCTTTTGTGTTGGCATTTGTAAAACAAGAATAAAAATATTGTCTGACCTCAGGGTTGATGATGTTTCTACCCCACTGTAATCCTGAAGGAAACTCACCAATTCACAAAGTGTATAGATAGAGATTAAAACATAAAATATAGGGATATATAAACACAAGCCCCAACAAGAACTAATACAGAAATCTCTAGCAAGAGGACATCACTGCCCAAATGCCTTCTGGAAGATCTACAGAACATTTTAGACTTCTGGAAAACAACAAAAGGAGAACTAGCATAATTTCCACTTAATGCTGGTTCTCATTTTGTTGTTTTCCAGAAGAAGCCTAAAATGTACTATAGATCTTCCTTTGGAGACCACTTTAAAGGAAAGCAGCACCTCTGACCCTTGACCGTCCTCACCTCCCTAAATAGGAGAATCATCATCAGCTTATTCTGTCAAGACTGAATTGACCAGGCCGATTGTAACAGGAAAATGCACTCCTATGGATAATCTGGCAACAAGCTTTGGAGGACTTTATAAGTCAACACCAGCATTTTAAACTGCATCTGGAAATTTATTGGTAACCTGTGCTGGCCTACAGCAGAGGTATAATGTACTCCCATTTGTGGAGTAGTAATTCCCCATCGGGAGACATCAGTGGGACACACAGAGAGATCCTGATGGAGAAATAGTAACTCATCTTGCTAAGATTCTCCTATCCAAACTCTCTCAGCCTCCAGGGACGAGGACAGAACTTCAATGACATCAACCTATTTTAAATACAGTGGGGAAATGCCAGATAATTATTAATATTGGCTGTTATTATTGATATATGATATAAACTGATACAATATGATATAAACTACTATGCCGTTGTTTCCTTAGTTTGGTGCATTACGTGAACTCAGCCAGTTGCAGCTTATTCAATAAATGACTGTTAACCAAACTATGGTTTAGTATGATTTAAAAGCTTGGCACAGAATTTAGTATGTTCATTTGATAATTAACTAGATTTAATAAGGAATAAGGATTCTTTCAGGGTTTTTTCTCTCTTTTCCAAATGCATACCCTAATGTTTTCATTTCTTCTCAGATTCTTCTTATTTAGCTCTGAGGAATTATATAATTTCTAGGATTATTTTTATACTTTCTAGGGAACCTTAAGGCCTGTTAGAATGCCAGGCACATAAGCAAATATTTTGTTCACATTTTGTTTTCGATCTTCATTGCACTTAACACAGTTTTTCAAAACAGCAAGATCTGAGAAGAAATGCAAATGCAATATTAAAATTCCTTCTGAATCTCTTTTTAAAAGCAAACATAAGCTTCAATTCTAAAAACTCTCCACCAGAACGAGCAGCATCTTGTTAGACTGTGTTTTAAATGCCAGTTCGCTTCTCACTTTTAATTACAATGCACTATGAAGCAGTGTCTGTCTCCTGCTTTGCACGTGGGGGTGGAATCCTGTGCAGAAACAGAACAGGTGTGGTTACCATGAGCAGAGGAAGAGAAGCACTGTGAGACAGGGGAAAGAAGCCCAGAGTCTTCACAGTTTAATCTGTGGTGTAAATTGCAAAATATAGTTCATAATGTAAGTATGATAGGTAGAAAGCTCCAAAGGCTGGATTCTTAACCACAAAGTGGAATTCTTGCACACATTTAACTACTCCAAGAGACAAGTATACAGCCATTTACTATGTACTATTCTATTTATTTATTAAATTTATTTGCTGCCTTTCTCACCATGGGGCTACTTTAGGCAGCTTACAATGAAAAAGAAGTGTAAACATAACAGTAGTAAAGTAATGAAACAATAGAATAAAAAATGAAAAAGAAAACAATGATAGACCAATATAAGAATAGAAGACGAGTGGATGGGGAAGCAGGGAAGAGCGAAGGGGGAAGGTAGGGTTTGCTATCAATCTAGTAGCTACCTCCACTGTGGTATTCCCCCATTGGGTCCCATTAAGACAGAGCACACGTTAAGTCATTCTTACAGAAATACAGAAGAGCCTAATCTTACATACTAGGATATGTGGTCAAGCTATGCTAACACAAGCCACTGCTGCTACTGTATGCAGGAAAGCTCAGCAACTGTGAACATACATATACGCTTATTATTGATGTGAATATAACAAGAATTGCCAGACAGACAGTAGTCAGAAGTGTAGCTAAAATCAGGTGATAGGATCCTGTAGTGGAGCTGTGAACTGTTCTAAGTAGTGAGCTTGGAAGTTAGTAGATTTGGCTTCAGTTCTCTTTCTGTCCCAGTTCGCAGTCAAAAGTGATTCCTTTATTCTACACTTGCTAGGACTGTCATCCATATAAAGAAGCATATTTTCCAACACACACCCCTAGTTTAAGAACACCAGTCAATGCAAACTGTATTAGTTAACATTCATGAAAAAAATGTGATTTACTTTTATTTGGATGGCTTTGAAATGTACATTAACAATTATTTTTCTTAATTTTTTCATTCCTTTTTACAATTAAGTTGAATGCAGGTTAACTTTTAATTTAATACAGGTTATATATAAAGGCTCTGTGGATATGCCTGTGGGTTCCTGTGGCTGATGTGCTCTTCCACTACCCAATCAAAGTTGCAATCAGTCTGGATCTCAATTTGAACATCTTCACCAACTCTCATCCTCAATTGTTTTAGGAAAGAAGAGAACTCCCTGAAAAATAACCTTCCTGCTGTAGTTTAAGTGCATTGTCTCTGCATTCTTCTGAGATAATATCTTTTTTTATTATTCCACAGTTGTAAATAAGGCAAAAATGCTGTCAGCTGGTGTGGCAGAAGCAGTATTGAAATTTCTCAGATCCGAAATGCCGCCTGTTCAGTTCAAGCTGCTGGGCACATTAAGAATGCTAATAGATGCACAAGGTAAAATAAGCTGTTTTCTTTGTTGAACTTTTGATCACTTGCTTCGTTGTTTTTTTTTTCCAGAAGAAGAAAAGGATTTAAAGAAAATCCTTCAAATAAACTGAATGCATATGCAAAAGGAGGACAGTTAATGAACTGCTTCAAGGCCCTGTGTTGTGTATAGCACAACGTTTAAAAGCTTGACTCATCTGTAGATTTAACAATTGTATGACATGGAATGTCATATATGCATTATATATACATTATGATAAACTTCTAGAAAACCATCTTTTTGTTTTAAATACCTGAGCAAAACTGTGAACAATTTCTTTAATTACAACAAAATGATTTGAACTCCCACAAGTAATACATACAGAGTTCTTTAATATTTCTGTCCTTTGGATGGTTTCTTTGATTATGTGTTAACAAGTTAGTGTCAACTCTTAACAATCACATGGATACAGTTTCTCTAGAACAGTCTATCAGGTCTTCCAATAATCCAAAATAGTCCAAAACTCACAAGCAAGACTTGTAAGATGTCAGTGTTTATATTTTTCTTGAAAAGATTGCCATCTGTGTTCTTCTCAGTTTGCACTTTACAATTTAACCCCCCTCAGAAAAAAGTGGTTAGGTCAGTGGACTTTAAAATTAGGCCAAGGTTCTACATAGAACCTCAGACCAGATTCACCATCCTCAGCTTAAACGCTGAGCTCCTTTTAACTCCAAGCATCATCTAACAATCTAGTAAAGCCTTTTTGTATGTGTGTACCTTTGGTGACTGTGCAGACAAGTCTTTGCAGTTTTTCTAGCAAGATTTCAATGGTGGGAAGTTTGTATCTTTCAGGCTTGCAAAATTCTATTAATGTAGCCTTACTGCAAAGTAGATTCATGTTTCCTCTGTGTTTTACCTGGGAGGGCTCAGCCTTGCATGTCTGAAGGTACACTTTTCTTTTTACCACTTTTAACTGTCTGATCAACTACGGTGGGTCCTTTCAAATGTCTTTCTCTGACCGTTGAGTGACAGTGGGCTCCTCCCTCTCTCCCTCCTCATCCAAAGTCATCCGCACATTTCATTACATCCAGCCAGCCTTGTACCTAATGATGGACTAGAACTCACAGTCTCCCAATTTCTAGCTTGATGGCTTAACCACTAGACCACTGGCTCACAGTAAAGCTATTAAAGGACATTTGTCCATAGTATGCAATTCTGTAATCAGCTATGGGAATAGCCTTGAAGAACAGAAAGAAATGACACAATCAGGACAGTGGTCAGATAAAAGTAATTTGAGTCCAAAGCAGAAATGTAATTTGAGAAAATGTCTCAGAATTCACCTTCCATAGTTACCGTGTAGATAAAGGCAGGGAGGGGGAGGCTCTTTCACTTGCAAGATTATGTTACTGTAAACCTATAGTAAAAGTACTATTACCGTATATGCCGGCGTATTAGGCGACCCAGCGTATAAGACAACCCCTATCTTTATCGCTGAGCTGCATTCCTAGAACGTCATCTTATATGCCGGAAACTATCAGTATTTCCGGCGTATAAAACGACTCGGCGTATAAGATGACCCCCGTCTTTGGCGCCGAGTTTAGCGCTTCCGGAAGTCGTCTTATACACCGGTATATACGGTAGTATTTATAATTTTGGTTTCCTAATCTTGTCCACCTCGAAGGTCTGACATCAATCTTGCAAGTCTGCAATTGCCTCCCCCCCCTTTCTCCAGTTCCTCAAGATTATTCTCACAGCCCATTACAAATGCATTCCAAGTTCTTCTAAATCAGTAAAGCAGCCATATTTCTGTAGATAAATACACCGACTCTTCAGGCATCGATTCTCACAGAGGTCAAGTACAAAGTGCCATTTGAGAAAACAGGTGAATACTACTACTTCCAGGTGCTTTCATATATTTACAAAAAAAAGTTCCATAAGTAGCATCTCAAGGGAGGAAGGAGCTCTTCTTGTTTATTTTCTTTTTTAAATTAATGTTGACTTTGTAATACATGCAGCAGAAGCTGCCGAGCAGTTGGGAAAGAATGTCAAGCTGGTTGAAAGACTAGTGGAATGGTGTGAAGCCAAGGATCATGCAGGTGTGATGGGAGAATCCAACAGACTATTGTCTGCTCTTATACGACACAGCAAGTCCAAAGTAAGTGACTTGTGCAAAAACTGCATTGCTTGAGGTTTCCTTACCTAACAGTGTGATGCCTGTTCAGTGAGAGAGCTGTGCTCACTGGTTTCATGACTATATTCTTAATGTTGGTCCAGATGAGGGATGCATAATCTTTTTTTGAGCAACGAGGTGCTCATGGCCTTGAGTGACATGCAGGGGCAGACTCAGGGAGATAGTGGAGGACAAGGGGCTGGCATGCTATAATCCATGGGGTTCAAAGAGTTGGACACAATTTAGGAACTGAACACTACAACAACAAAAATCTATTGCAATAATTCAGGCAGAATCCACCTGGTCCACAACGTAAATAGTCAATTATGTTGCTCTCTTCAGTATTGGTCATTGGTCTCCTTATTTAATTAAAACATTAAATTTTAAGGATATTGTTATGAAGAACTCAAGAAGTTTTCTTAAGCAAGGCAAGCGTGCATTGTAAGCTTGACAGCAAATCATAAATAAATTAGTGTCCTTTCCCTGTACAGGTAGTCCCCAACTTACAACAGTTTGTTTAGTGACTATTCAAAGTTATAACAGCACTGGAAAAAGTGACTTATGACTGGTTTTCACACTTACAACCATTGCAGCATCCCCATGATCAAATGATCAAAATTCAGACACTTGACAACGAACTCATGTTTATGATGGCTCAAGTGTCCAGGGGTCATGTGATTATCTTTTGCAGCCTTCCGACAAGCAAAGTCAATTGGGGAAACCAGTTTCACTTAACCCTAATTTACCAACTGCAGTGATTCACTTAACAACTGTGACAAGAAAAGTCGTAAAATGGGACAAAAATCACTTAACAAATATTTCGCTTAGCAACATAAATTTTGGGCTCAATTGTCGAGAGTTGAGGACCACCTGTATACAGGCACACAGTTGCTTGTTGTGTGGCTATAGGTGCATTGAATTTTTCACTTCCTGGAATAGTGAGATGGCATGTGATAATTAATCTGACAATAGGCAGGCTGATTCCATAATATCTAGCAGCTCTCTGCTAATGGTCAGGGTAGAATAGAATACAGCAAACTGATAAAAGAAACACCTGTGGGCATGAGCACCTTTTCCTGTATTCAGTGTGGCAAAGGCTAAGTAACACTCCCTTTGTTTATTACAGCAGTTTATTATAATCAATTTACAAAAATAGAATGAAAAATTAACAAATTGGCCTGTTGTATTTACCTATAAAGCACTGCAATCTTGCTTCATATTCTGTTACTTTTATTTAAGGATGTAATTAGGACCATTGTTCAGAGTGGTGGCATTAAACACTTAGTTACCATGGCAACTAGTGAACATGTAATAATGCAGAATGAAGCTCTCGTTGCTCTGGCATTAATAGCAGCTCTAGAATTAGGTAAGTATTCCAATAGTTAATGTTTTGTAATTTATCTCATCTTCAGTGGTGCATGCTAAGCCATGATATTATGTCACTGAGTATCATGTACACATGTATGCCAGTGGGTGGGAAGATGCCCTGTACATAGTTTTAAATCCTTCCTAGGATTTATCTTAGTAATAGTAGTAAAGTTGGAAGGGACCTTGGAGGTCATCTAGTCCAACCCCCTGCTCAGGCAGGAAATCCTACACCATTTCGGACAAATTGCTGTCCAGTCTCTTCTTAAAAACTTCCAGTGTTGGAGCATTTACTGCTTCTGGAGGCAAGCTGTTCCACTGATTAATTGTTCTCACTGTCAGGAAGTTTCTCCTTAGTTCTAGGTTGCTTCTCTCCTTGATTAGTTTCCACCCGTTGCTTCTTGTCCTGCCTTCAGGTGCTTTGGAAAATAGCTTAATTCCCTCTTCTTTATGGCAGCCCCTGAGATATTGGAATACTGCTATCATGTCCCCCCTTGTCCTTTTCTTCGTTAAACTAGACATACCCAATTCTAGCAACCGTTCCTTATATGTTTTAGCCTCCAGTCCCCTTAATCATCTTTGTTGCTCTTCTCTGTACTCTTTCTAGAGTCTCAACATCTTTTTTACATCGTGGTGACCAAAACTGGATGCAGTATTCCAAGTGTGGCCTTACCAAGGCATTGAAGAGTGGTATTAATACTTCACGTGATCTTGATTCTATCCCTCTGTTAATGCAGCCTAGCACTGTGTTGGCCTTTTTGGCAGCTGCAGCACACTGCTGGCTCATATTTAGGTGATTGTCTACTAGGACTCCGAGGTCCCTCTTCTACTCTGCCACTCAACTTCAGTGCCATTCTTTGAGCCTGCCTTAGTTTCTCTGAATTTTTCTTTAAAACATCTGCTCAGAACATTACAGAGTAATCAAAGTAGAGTCTGTCTATTGTAAAATACAGTGGAATTATTATATATTGACTTATCCAAAATTTCAGTTGTTTTTTAGTCAACCATTTCATATAGCTAAAATTATCAGGCACAAAAAAACAGGTCCATAAGTGAAGGTTCAGTTTAACTGATTTATTGCTAAAAGCCTATGCACAGGAATCTTCTCAATGGTCAGCACCTGGTTAGATAAAGGTCAGCTGCAGTCAAGGGAAACTCAACTTTGTGGCTACATGAGGCTACATGATCCCTCTTTTTACTCCTCCTGGCTCTGCCATTCCTTCTCCTATAGCAGTGATGGCGAACGTATGGCATAGGTGCCAGAGGCGGCACTCAGAGCCCTCTCTGTGGGCACGCACACCGCCCCAGCCCCGCCATCCCCCATGGCCCCCTCACCAGCAACCCCCTGGAGGAGAGTCGCCCTGGGTACAGCCTGCGCAGAGCAGCACAGCCAAGGACATGGCAGCCGGGCAGCAGGGACAAGACTCCGCCCTCGTGCCCTATTGCGTACAGATGATGCTGTGGACCATGGACAGAGGGCGTGGCCGCCATGACACTGCTGGGCTGTCTGGGCGATCTGCTGTGGCAGGCCGTGGAGGGTGGTGGGGCAGGGGCAGAGGCGAGGCGGTTTTTGGGCACTCGGTCTCTAAAAGGTTCGCCATCACTGTCCTATAGTTATATTCAGATTGTAATGAATTACAATTCTGAGGTCCTTATGTGTTGTTACAAAGCTAGATGTTGCACATTTCTATTCCTATATATTGCATTTCCTTTTTACAAGGTTAGAATTGTGCATTTATCTCTATTCAATTACATCCTATTTTTGTCATCCCAGATTTCCAGCCTATCAAGATCACTTTGAATTTGTTTTCTGTCATCTCAAGTTTCAACAGTCACTCTATTGAAGAAAACAGATAAAACCCAATACTTATTTCCACAGAGTTATTTTGTTTACCATTTATAATGAGATTTAAAACTGTGATACCGCAATTAGTTTTTTACTATCTTATGTTATGCATAGGCAGGTAATAGGAGTTGAAGCAACAGTATCTTGTTTGTGTGTCAAGATTTGCAAGATGGGCAGAGTGCCATGATGTATGCTGTACCCCTTCATACACATGTGGCACACTTGCAAAATGTGGGACTTGTATTGACATTGTTTCCTAATATAAGACAACTAATACTATCGCTATCTCTCTCTATCATTTCTCTGTTCATTTGTCTATCTATCATCTATCTATAATAAAATGGGTTCCTAAACCCTAACTTTTCAGAAGTTGCACCAATCTTGGATTCCAAGATTTCGAACCAATCTTGGAGTCCATAAAATATTTTGATTGCTCCCATGTGCTAGCTGGAGACCTACAGCTTCAATTTCTCTTTGCCAGTTTGTGGAGGAGAGTTTGTGCCATCTGGCCTATTTCTGTGTATCTTGAGTTGAAAAACATTGTTCTAGAATGTGAGCTATCCTACCCAGTATTGCACCTTCTGCAAATTCAAATTTAGTAAGCATTTCTTTTAATCTCTTCTCCAATTCATTTCTAAAAATGAACACAGGCCAGTCCTGTGGAACATATCTTATCCCAGTTTAATAAGGAACAGATGGAAGTAATGTTCAGTGGTGTGAGTACATTTTCTTAGCCATCTGTGAAGCCATCTAAGAAGATACGCCATCCAGTCCATATTTAACTAACTTCTTAATGGGAATATCATGTTCCCTCTCAACACACACATACACTAAATTGCAGAAAGCAAGCATCTGCAGTGTCTGATTTACAGTTCTCCTCTGTTTGAATTCACAGCCACAGCAGAGAAAGATCTTGAAAGTGCACAGTTAGTGCAGATTCTACACCGGCTCTTATCAGATGAGAGAAGCGCACCAGAAATCAAGTACAATTCCATGGTGCTGATCTGTGCGCTTATGGGGTCAGGTGAGTTTTCCTAAGTTTTGTTTCCTGTTTGTTTTGTTTCAGTCTTTTAAGAGCAAGAATGGGTACATACAACTAACAGCACACATAAATATACATACAGAATATTCCTTTTGTCAAACTGGGGATAGTGGCAGTTTCTGTGACTGTTTAAATTTTGTTAAAGTTTATTGAATTGAAAGTGCAATAGTGGGGAAATCAACTCTGGCAATTAAACACCTCATGTAAAGTTCTCTCTCTCTGTATATATATTTCCAAAAATCCTCTCTGGGCAAAAAAAAATCTCTCCAGGCAGAACTTTTCTAAGACTAGAAACCTGACAGGAGGCGAGGGTAGATTTACCAGCATCACCCTTGTAAGTTTTCTCTCTCTAAAAAAAACCTGTAGCATGAAGTTGAATGGGTCCAATTCTTGACATGGAAGGATACTTTTCTAACGGTCATTGCCACTTATTACAGTGAAAAAAAGGGAAAAGAAATAGTCAAACTTTAAGCTTCTCATGTTTGAACAGAAAAGCAATATATTATGTGAACAAATCACACTCCATTTATTAAATATGTGATAAGAATTCATACCATGAAAAAGCATTTGGAATTTTTTTCCAATTACTTCACATTTGTTTAGTTTTGAAATTTGTTGCAAAGGAAACAAGGAAGTTCTAAGTATTTATTAAAAGTTGGCTAAGGAAAACATGTTAATTTCTTGTCTTCCATTTCACCATTAATTTGCTAGTAGTCTGTAGCCTCAGTGGCTTCTCACATTTTCCCATTAGACATTTCTTACTGGAAAACGTAGACAGTCCCAAAACTAGAGATCTGTCACCTCTAAGAGTCAAACTCCAATACAATTGCAAGAGAAATTGAAAGAAATACTCAAGACTCCCGGGAATAAAAGAAGATTTTAGCACAGGATTATTGACAGTCGTCTTTCTAAACTACTTATCTGATATGTCCATAATAGCAAATAACTGAAATCTAGTTGTAGATTGTCCATGTATTAGAGGAGACTGCCATCCTGTGTGTAGTTTCATGTTAACACTCGGACCCAGTATAATGCGAAGAAACAACAGGACTGAAACAGAGCAGCCACTGACATTTTAAAAGCCCCCTCCACCCCCTCCTATATTGTCATCTTCACTTTCTCCTTTCTAGCGATGAAATTAAAGCACTTTTTTTTTTCCCTAGCCGGACTTTTCTAAGCCTGCAGCTTTCGTGGCAATGCAGTTCAGGAAAGAAAATTTGTCTCCTTACACTCTCCATAACATGGACAAATATTAGTTGCCTCTTGACCTACCACCTTTTTGTCAAAATAATTAGCAAAGTTCTTTTTCTGTTATCTTTATAATATCACATGTGTATCTATAGAAACATAGAGAGAATTTTAGACAGTGGATGTGTCGATTTCAACAGCTGCTGCTGCTACTTTATCTTTCTGGGCTACAGGATTCAACGGTGATGACGCTATTGCCTCTGCTGTTCCTCTTCCCAACAGGCACCTTAGGTTTGAAAAATAATCTAATGGTAAATTTAGCATAAAGTTACACTGCCCAGGGTCACCCCGTGAGATGGGCAGTCTCTAAATTTGATAAATAAATAAGATAAAATAAGTAGGAGGAAGTGGAGCATTCGGTTCATAGCCTTTGTAATCAATGCTGCATATCAAAATGAAAGAAAAGGCTCAAATCTTTCATGCAGCAAAGTGAGACTGGTTTGCTGCTAGAACCTGTTTATGCTGCCAAAGGAACACCTGCAGTGAATATTAAACTGTCCTGAGAACAAGAGGCATATCTTGATGTGGCTAAATAGTCTAGGCCAAAAAAAGACTTTCCATTCAACTCTTGGGTAAACTAAAAGGCTTTTGAATCTAAGCTGGTTTCTTCCTTCCATGGTGACACAGGAAAGAATTAGTATATGGAGACTGATGGAAAAAGGTGAATATGAAGATTGGCAAGAAATCAAGAGCCAAAACGAAGGCAGGGGAAGCAAGAATTACAGAAAGCTGTAAAATTGATTCCAGTCCAGTCAAAGTGAAATCACCATCCAAAGTCATGTTGTCTTCCTGGCAATAATTTGGGCAGTCTAGTTTACAGATCTAGGATTTTCTGATGGCTTTCCATTTAAGGTGTATAGCTTTACTTGGTTTTTTCAGATCAGGCAGGGTAGGTTAGGCGCTGCTTTGTGGTTGGCATATAGTTTTCACTTGCATCAGTACATGTAAATTTGCAAGTATACAAGAGCACGCTTATCTTACGTCTTGGATTGATTGCAGTTGTCCTGGTTTTGAGCATTAATCCAGACAGCCCAGTTGCTTCCCCAAAAAGTCCCAGGAAGTTGGGTTACTGTATTCCAACCAGAAAACATGGGTCATATCTTCCAACTTGCTGCTTCTCTGTCTGCAGAGGACAAACCAAAAGCAAATTCAAATAGTTAAACCTGCTTTCCCCTTTTGCAGATCTTACACGAGGGAAGGGCACCTTTTGAAAGAGAAAAAATGCCCATAGTCTGTGCCTTTATTTGCACAGGCGCCTGAGGTTTGAGTCCTTCCAATCAAACCTGACCCTTAGTGATTTCATGGACATATCCATTTACTTTTCTTGGCAATAATATATGGTTTGCCATTGCCTTCTTCCAGAATTGTTTTGTATATCCCACTTAGCTTTTCTTCAAGATCATTCAGGATCAACCTACTGCTTTCTTGAGTATTATGAAAGCAGAGGCAGCCTTTTGGCAATGATGGTCAGGTCAAAATTTACCAGCTATCAGCATATTTTTTTCATTTTAGATGTAGACTACAGCATGGATGCCAGAGTCCCCCTCCCTTCCCTCCCCATTCCAAGAATATGTTCTTCAACAAAATAAGCAGTAATATGGGAAGGCAAGTTGACCTGCTTGCAATCTTGAAAGTTTTCAACTAATAAAAAGCTGAATTTGCACAGGCTAAATATTCAGTGTAAAGGGCTTGCGCATTATGCCATTTTATCCTCTGTTGATTGCAGTTCTTTAATCAAGCTTTCAACTTATTCTGTCATCCAATCTGATGCCTTTTCAGTTTCCAAAACACACCATTCGTTATCTTAAAATTAAGCTTGGTCCCAATTTTTGCAAGTCCCATGATAACTATTTTAACTTCAGTAAGTTCCAAACCATTAAGATGCTTGTGGCATCAACTGAGCTTTTATCCTAGTCTGCCATACAAGCATAGCCTGCAAATGGAAGTGGTCTTTGTGGCTAAATGAAGCCGAGATTAGCATACCAGGAGCTACATTTTCTTAAGACAACAGCTCCAAACACCTGCTCTATCTGGTACAGGCAAGACTGATTGGGAAAACTGAAGCCCACACATCAAGAAGATAACCAGCTCTGGTAGACTCTGATTCAGGCCAAAGATAGATTGTAAGAAATGGGTTTTATTTTTTCTCTCTTCTGGCAATAGCTCCTAGAACATAAGCTTGTGTACATTCTTAGTAGGCTTCTGGAATGGAAGCGCTTCTTTTTTCTCAGATTGTTCCTTTGTTTATTTTCCTGTCTCTATACAATTTAAGGAATTGGAAAGAGCAATTTGCATTGAGCTGCTTGAAAGATGCCACTTTTTGCTCCCTCCCATTTTTCTCTACCAGCCAAGTGGTGGTTTGATAATGTCTGCATTCATTTCAGCTTCACAGCAAATGCAGACAAAAAAGCAGCTGTTCCCAGAATGGCCCAACGGGGAAGTAACAATCTTACCTCTGTTTAACAGAATCTCTTCACAAGGAAGTGCAAAGCCTGACTTTCCTAGAAGTCGTATCAAAACTCCGCAGCCACGAGAACAAAACGGTCGCCCAGCAGGCTTCCCTCACAGAGCAGAGACTTGCTGTGGAAAGCTGAGGAAGGGGGCGCCAGTTCCACATTAGCATCATGTCACTGACCTCACCTCTTGTCCTGTCCTGCTGCTGTTATTCCAGCCATGTTTTTTCCACCGTCACTAATGCATGCGTGTAACATCCCCACACCACACTGTTATAGGTACCTCTCTAAATAAGATTTCTAAAACACCCATAGCCAATTGTCATAGGATCCTGTCTTTCTTATCCACACAGCAGACGCATACATGCAATCTGCAGCCTTGTTGTCATTCTCCTTGTATTCTTGTTGCTTGGGCCACATACTAGAATGTGCATGTTGTAGTCCTGTAATAATGTAAAAGTGGTACAACCGTGATGACACCTCCCCTCAGACTCCCTACTTCCTCAATAGAGGCAGCAAGACAGTTGAGATGAGGCTTGGGAGCACACCTCTCTTTTTGCTGCTTTAGATATGAAAGAGGGAAGAGGAAAAGAAATCTTGCTGCTCATTCACTGGTCTTGCCTACTAATGTCAATCCTGTGGTACCTAGAGATAAAACCAATAAAATCCAGTGCCCTCACACTTTTCCCTGTGGTTTGTCTTTGTATCCTGGTTTATTTTCATGGAGCCTTCAAAAACTAGCTGTGTGTTGTGGAAAGCTGTACCAGTAGGGTACGTGTGCATCCTAAGTACTGTTGCCTACTTCTCTCTGCCAGTATTTGAACAAATACACAAAATACACTGCTCTGCTTCTTGTGCCACACCTTGCCTGTTTTGCTCTTGTTCTACATAAATGCAGAGCACTGGGGATTGTTTCCAAGCTTTTGAAATGAGGCTGAAGTCTGCCAGTAGCTTTAATTCACTTTGGACTAATCTAAGCAACAACCACTTGGTTTGAGTGCTGCAGCAACCTCAGGTTGGGATTAAAGTATCTTTTAAAAAAAGATATATGTAAACCTCAAATAATTTTATAATCATCCTGACCCTTAGAAAGTCAGCTACAAGAGGGAGCCGGGATTGCGTCAGTAATATGTTGTTAAGAGTATTTGTGTTTGTATAGACATCAACTAAAATTGAGATTAAGAAGCAAAGCAGTAATTTACATAACATATTTATACCAGATCCTGCAAAAAGGAGGCATGCTACATCAATAGGTTCTATCTAAGTATCCTTAATTGTTTTTTACCTATGCAAGAGCTCTTTTCAGTCAAATGGTGGGGATACTTCCACTAACTCAATCTTTTTGGTTGGACGGAGAAACTATAAGAATGTACAATTACAAAATTTGAAACCTGACCAGGTGTTCTATTCTGGAGTGCTTTTAAACGTTAGGGATTTATGAAAGAATCAGGAACAATTGTATTTTCCTAAAGGGCCTTAATTCTGCATCAACAGTAACCCAGTGCTTCAATTTATCTGGTTTCCAAGTTTTCAACAGACATATTTTTTTTTTGCCTATTTCTACATCTAGTATCTCAACAAGCAGGTGATCTATCTAGCATCTGCCAAATGTTTTGAACTTCAGTTTTGGTAGGTCTCAGCCAACAAAAGAACTAACAAAGATTTCTGGGAGTTCTGATCCAGAAATCTAATGGAATATATTTGTATGTATTGCAAATGAAAACAAAGATTCTTGGATCTAAATTATACGACTTTTTCTTTACAAAGAGCTATTATGAACAAAGGAGCAATACCCATCAGAGATTCATAAACCACAAATGCAGTATTTTATCGCATTCCATCTCACCTTGTTTATTTTCTCACACATCCAGTGAAATGTTTAAGTGAAACTTTTATATATATGTGAGAACAAGGAACAGAGCCAAAGTGTCACTCCATTTTATTTGTAAAACTAATCATACTAATAAATTGCATATAAAATGATTTATTTCAAGTAAAATACAGAATACTGCACAACTAGTAAAACTATGTTCATAAATGTATTAAAACATTCTGAAAATTTGCTTCTATTAAAAAAAAGACAAAGAGCATGATGAATCTCACTTTCAATACCTTAAAAATTAACACAAAATAGTGGTGTTAATTTCATGTAAAAGTTCAATTTTGTCCACTGAAAGCTGCATGGCTACTATATATCATATTCTACTGTGAAAGAAATGATAAATTAGGTAAAATATATTCATTTTGAGATGAAATAGGAGCATGTGGGAGTGAGATGACACAATCTCAGTCAAGCTGTACAGGCATGCACTTTCCTTGTAACAATACTTTCCATTATCAGTAAGTGTAATTGGCATTTACAATCAATTCAGCAATGCACAAGACTTTCCACACAGGTAAAGTACATTCAAATAAAAGTAAAAAGGGTAGGGGGAATCACAATGGTAATGACAGTCATTGCCTTCATCGTGACATGCAATGCTTTAGAAAAGAAAAGGTTGGAAGTTAATGCAGCATACCTAAACCTGACTTAAGTCATCCTCAATCTTCAGAAAATAAACGGAAATACTTATTGCAGGTAGACTTCTGCTATGCATGGCAGTTCTAACTTTTGTGGTCGTTTACACCCTGAATTAAGTTTCCAATCGGGATACCTCTGGGAATGTTGGAAAGGAATTCTGGGAGTTTAAAGACTTGCTGGGGAAGGCTGTTTTCTATTTTTATCTAAATTGATTTCATAGGACTGATTCTGAGATTTAAATTATGTTCCCTAGGCAGGTCTTTCTGCATTTCTTGCTCTATCACTGCACAAATAGCTACATTAACATTTCCATTCTGACAAGGTAAATCTGGGATATCCTGTACAATACTTAAGGGTGCGTCTCCTCTTTCTGTGAGATATGCAATTAACAGGCATCAAACAAGAAAGCAGAGTGATACATGAGTAAGAGCAAAACCAGCGTATACCCATACTGAAAATTCCATGTGTTCTCATCCATGATGTAGCCTACAATGTTGGGGAAAAAAGAGCACAGGAATATAGGAATAGCATCTTCAGCCTGGATTAAATGTCTGTAGAGGGCCTAAATTTTTTTCCTGTAACATTCAGGAGACAGAACCTGAAGCCTACAATCCAGCTATAGATATTCATATATCATCTAATTCAATACAACCCCATTGGAAATAAACGTATTAAAACGGGCTGTTTTGCTCCCAATCCTTCTTTTCAGGTATAACACCTCATTCTTCCTTTAGACTGTGTCAAGTTCAGGACTTAGTCTTCCAAATGAAAATGGAGAGAACAGTTTCCACAGAGTAAGTCCATTAAAAGTTCATTCGTGTTTAAAAAAGAAGTGGGCTGCAGAGGAAAACTATGGGCAGGATTGTGGAATAAAGGTCAGTCTGCCTTAAAATGCATCTGCCCTGGGTTTTGAAAAGGTGATGTGATGTTTTCTACCTGTCTTCATGAATCAAGCAAGTTGCCTTCCCTGTGATTTTCTCAGCCATAAAATGCACATACAAGAGTTATGTGCCAAAATAAGCCAAGGCAGAAATGTGAAAACATAAAAATATATTCTAAAGACACTTCACTTTAAAAGACTGAGGGAGAACAATAACATGCTACAAGCATCAATAGTTGACAGTGAACCACTGAAGAAACTTATTATCAAGAGAAACATATCAAGAGAAATCTGCATCCACAACGTTAAGACTTGAGAAACTTTTGGGGTTTTACAGAACTAAGTTGTATCATCAATGGAAAAGATAAAAGGCACACAATAAGCAACTCCAGCAAAATATCATGTGGCCCAAGACGAGCCCATGGCTAGGCAGATAACAAATTTTAGGCCTCCATTGTTTGAAAGTTGAATTTCTCCCTGCTGGACAAGATTACTGAAGGGGCAGAAGGAAAGTAAAAACACCACTTTGGCATGTTTAAGTAGCCATTCTGTTTCTCAGGAAAGCAGCCACAGTGAAAAACTAAAGTATGGGAACAGGATACATGGATATGTAGTCAGTTCAGAACAAAGACAGCAGGCTTATTGAGCCATCCAATATATTTTATCAAATGTGTCACTAAGCAAGCAATTGAAGACGCTATGCCCGGAATATCCTCATTCACATCCTTTTTTTGATAATGGTAGCCAGTGAATTTTTTTTTTCCTGGGTTACTGATTAAGAACAGAAACCATTGTATTTGTACCAGTTTACAGTTACATTCATTGCCCAAAAATAATAAAATGTAAATATTCAAAGGAACTGAATTAACAAAAATTTTAAAGATTCTTAATTTATTAAATTGCAGAAATGCCCAGCAAACACTAGATGGCAGGCTATTAAAGCAGTTTAAGTTCCAACTAATAGATAAGCAAAACATTTATGCCTTCAGGTGCTTTGGAGAATACCTGAAGGCAGGACAAGCAACGAATGGAAATTAATCAAAGAGAGAAGCAATACAACTAAGGAGAAATTTCCTGACAGTTAGAATAATTAATCAGTGGAACAACCTGCCTCCAGAAGTTGTGAATGCTCCAACACTGGAAGTTTTTAAGAAGAGACTGGACAGCCATTTGTCTGAAACGGTATAGCATTTCCTGCCTGAGCAGGAGGTTGGACTAGATGACTCCAAGGTCCCTTCCAACTCTATTATTATTTAAATGGATGGGATTTTTCAATTTTCTCAAAATATATATTAATATGTGTAAACCTGTGCAGGAATGATTCCACAGTTGTGCTATTCTTTACATTTCTGAGATGTACACACCACTGGACTATATAAAGACTACCTAATTTAAAGAAACAGGAATTGGCTTGAAAATGATGACAAAGCAAATGGATTTCCAGAGATTCAGACCAGAAGTTAGGACAGGAGTTAGCATATTTCAACCAAGATGGATTTGGCAACACAATACAGTTTCTAGACACTGCCATTTCTTTAGAAAAAGCTTGGACCAATAATAAAAATCAAAATAGTCAACAATCTTTCAGAAAAAAAGATTTACAGAATTTTCTAGCAAAGCCACCCCCAAAAGTTGTTTCTGTAACATAGGATTAAGCCACTACTAGACAAATGTCACGATGTGATATGTAGGGAGATCTAGCAGCAAGCAAACATTGATACACACATTCTTTAAAACATAATTCATAACGTATGTGCAATTTGTTAGGCAGGCATGAAGCACAAACTTCCATGACACGTGTACTGCTATCATTTGAAGGGGTTCTTTTGACTCTTCTTGTCAAAAACTATAGTACTATTTAGTACAATTATTAGAAAAGATGTGGAGAGAAAAGACATGAACAGCAGCTACAAACTTTAACTTCTTAACATTTAAGCATTAACATTCAACATTAAGCATTTACATCCAAACTGACACATACTAAAACTTGCAAAGCTCACACTGAAGAGTTGCTGCAATCAAACATTTTCTGTTCCCAAATATTTGCATGGTGCTGGTTGCTGGAAACTCCTCTAAATTCCATCTCCCCACTCTAATAAGCATCTGAAAACTCTGCTGTCATTTGATAGTGAATTCTCTTGCTCTTTAAAAACCCCTTCATCCTTTCGAAGAGGAAAAGGGGCACCTGAAAACATGAATACTGCTAGCTGGGAAATTCTGGGAATCGAAGTCCACGAGTCTTAAAGTTGCCAAGGTTGGATACCCCTGGTTTAATGGCAATGACTGTTGCCTTTATTCCAGTTTGTTAATTTCTCCATCACTCACTATTTTACAGTGTATCCTTTTTGAGACCAGCTCATTTGAATTGAGAAAGCAGACTATAACCCAAATTTACCAATATATCAAGTTTTATTGTGGGGCTTGGTCAGAAAATTCCCTCTTGCAAACATATGTATGTACTGCTTTTTCCTTGTGACATTTAATATAAATTTGAAAAGAAAGCTACAAAATACAGGTAGTCCTCGAGATATGACAGGCCATTTATTTGTTTGTAAATTTTATTGGCCACCCATCTTACCACAGAGTAGAGCTGGATGGCTTACAATCGTAAACAAATAAAAACTACAAAACCTAAAATACATAAATAAAATACTGTAAAGATCCAATTACTGAGCCCAATTAAAAGAACGTTCATTTAATAAATGTTCCAAGTTACTACAGACCTGCCCCCATTCCAAAAGCTATATATGACCCCATGCCAAAGTTACGATGGTTGCAGCAGCCCTGGGCTTTGGTGCTTCCAACACAAATGTAATTATAGTAATAGCAGCCCTGCAATCATTTTCCTTGATGACCCACCACAAGGTCCCTGCAGCACCCTTCCATGTCTCTCCTCCCATCCCACCCTGCTGGAACCCTGCAGTGCTTGGGCCTATTCCACATGCCCCACACTTATCTTCTGAAGCTCTCCAGGGCTCACGTTGTGAAAGGAAGACAGGCTATATGTACCTGGGTTGTGTGGCAGCAGCTGCCAGAAAAACTGCTTCATTTGGCTGCCTTAGCCAGGTCTGCATAGTGCTGCAGAAGCTTTTTGTTAAGGCAGCAAAACAAATAGTTTGTCCCCGGACACTGCAGTGGCGACCCAAATGTGGATGCCACTTTGGTGATAGGAGAAAATTACAAAAATTTTCACAACCGTGTCATGTGACCATGCAAAGGAGGTAGTCATTTCAGTACTCTGGAAGGTCTCATAGTACTTCAAAAGGAGAAAGGTATTTGGCTGGGGGTGGAAGAGGGGGGTCAGACCTAAGGCCTGGGAGTATCCAGTGGGAATGGGAAAAGGCCTGCTGGGACACAGTGGAGCATGGGGCGTCTCGGAAGTGAGGGGAGCCTTGGGAGGGCCACGGCAGGTAGGACTGGCCCTGTGCTAGGCCTCCAATGGCTTCCCCCACCCAACATTCCACTTAACAACCCACACGTTCATTTAATGAGTCATTGGGGACAGCAGGGGTGGGGGTCATTAGGTGAGACGTTTCACCTACTATAACAACTGCGGAGACACGCAGCTGTAATGGGCAGGTTCCATTACTGTCATATCTCGAGGACTACCTACAGTATTTCAACACTCTACACAGATGTAATCGGCACCTCTTTTATTACTTCAAAAAGCTTTACCATACAGCTGTAAAATTTCTATGGTGCAAAGATTGTAGCTTTTCATTAGTTAGGGCCTATTAGTAATTAAATTCTATTTACCAGATAGAGCTTCTGAGATTAATGTTTAACCGGGGGTACTAGAAGTGGGTAAAACATTTCTAATTCAAAATATTTTAAGCTAAAAGAAGTTTGCTTAGGCAGGATGTTTCATGCTTGAAACAGGGTCATTTCCAGTTCTGAACAATTTTGGTAAGAATATAAAGGTTTCCTCCCTCTAAACATTTCAAGTTCAAAATGTTTTGTATTACCTTTTGGAATGGGCATGTCCTATGAGAAAGTTATTTGAAAGCTGTCTCAAGCTCACCCTTGTTTTAAAAGCAAATATGGGATTCTGGAAGAAATATGTGAATTATAATCATGCATAGGCAAATAGAAGGCAAATACATACCCAATAATTAAAATTATATTATCTCTTTGCAACAAGGGACAAGACCAAGGCAAAGTCAGGACAGAGCTATTTTAAAAAAATAAGAGTTCTGGTTTCCTGCAGGACTCCAAGAAATAAACATGCTTTGTATGCAAACAAAATGATTGCCATTTTTCACTTTCTATATAAAAATGTTATTAAGCTTATTCACCACTGGGACGAAGAAGACAACCTCTTAATGCTGTACAATCAGTAAGACATTTCAACATCTTTTACCAAAAGATAGAATGATATGCCTAATCACATATTTTGTTCCATTAATAAGAAAACTTTTATCACTATAATATGATAGTTTACCCATCTATCAGTTATAAAACAGCTTGGTAATGGAAGAAAAAAATGACAGGAAAAGAGAAAGAAAAACAAGGGTTAAACATCTGAAGCAAAATTATTATTACATCTAATCAGAAACATGGAAAATTTTTTCAGAAATGTAGAACAGCAGCAAAAAGAAGGAATGTTTATTCAGTACATCTTATAGTATCAGGATCTTTCATGTTTGGTTTCTGGAATGTTCCACAATGAAGCTATTCAAGTCCTAGAGATTCATAAAAAGTCATTCAGTTTTCATCCACTGTACGTTTTATTCGGCATTGTTTGTTTCCTTCACTTAAGAAATTCAAGGACTAAAAACTAAGAGAATCTGTTCACTGAATGAGACTGACACAAATATAACTTCCTTGTGTAAATGAGCCTCAGTTACCCATTCTAGGACCCTGATCAGAACTCAGTTACCTAGACAAAAGGTCATGTGAAGTCATACTAGACACAGTTAGAATGTTTAGCTCTGGGTACAAAATGGGAGAGTTGAACAAGACATTCGTGCATTTACTTGTTTTCCTTTTCAAATTAGGGCAGCGTCCCCCCACTTGGTGCCTATCAATGCTAGATGAGAATTCTTGGAGTTGTACTCCTAATATTTCTGGTGACACCAGACTGGAGACGTTAATATTTTTAAGTAGCTACTGCACACCAGTAGAACTCAAATACTGTATTTATCTTTTCCATGTTCTACTTCATTTAACAATAATTTTCAGTCGCTGCCAAATTTGAAGATTGTCATCTCTCCACTGCCAACCCTGGAAAAAGAGTGGGATTAAGCCTAAATGCATATCCTTAACAGCCAAATTCAGATTGCTTTTCACAGAGGCATCAGAATTTTCTTTTTCATTGGTACTTAAATATACATAAACATAAATTTACTGAAACTGACTCACAATGCTCTCATTGAAATACACAAATACACTCTTCTATCCAATTGTTGCTCCTGCTTGAAAAATGAGAGAGAGGTACATATTTCATTAAGGATTCTATTTTAACTGACAGAAAAGGAAATGCAATGGCAACTAAATGGTAATGAAGCCAGCGCAAAATGCAAACCAAAGAACGTAAATTGGTCAGCATTTCATTTATGTTTGTTTGAACTGGAAGCCCACTCAAATCCAGCAAATCAAAAAGGAGTAGCAATTTTTAAAAGTTTATACCAACTCTATGAAGAGGGTATAACAAGATATACTTAGAAAGGGTTATCACGGGACAAAAAGCATTTGCCCTACTATAGTGTGAAGTAAAGATATCAAAAACTATTCCAAACAGGTTTGTTTCTTTAGAATTCATTTTATCCATGAAACTGAATATGCTGTGCTTGTTTCTGCTTCTAAATTCATCGTTATTTCTCAATCTCATCATCAAATCTCCCAGCATGAATACCTTCATCTCTTCTTCATTTACATATTGCTAGCGACTAATACAGATGGAGAATATTCTCTATTTTAGCTCTTTCCTGAAGTTTGCTGATTCCACAGTTCCCTGTCCAGTGAAATAAAGATTGCAAGAGGTTGTAAAATAATTAAAGCTGTTGTTATTCGACAGAGGACCTAATAGAACAGATACTGAATTTCCTGTGGAAGAGTGATGATTTTTTTTGCCAGAAAACAAAGCACATGTGAAGTAGATAAGTAGTTGCCTCTTCGTGGGATTTCTTCCCAAAGAAACGTTAGGTCTCTCGGCCACTTCTTTAATGGCAAAAGGAAATTGCCTCATGGAGGGTCTGCTGCAACACAGAAAACAAAACGATGCATCTACTGAAGTTCCATTGACACAGACCACTTGCCACACACACAGAAGAAACGGAAGAAATATCCTCCAGTTTACTCAGTCAAGGATACAGTAGAGATTCATGGCTCAGTACATTTTAGACTGGCAGTTTTTAATAGCATTCATCACAACTAGGTGGCTGGAGCTGCTCATTGTGGAATAAACAAAGGTGTGATGCTGTTTTAATCAGCTGAGAACTTAAAACTTCTCAGTCACCCATTTTCACATAGCTTTGAGTCCATGTGGGCCACATGGAGCCTTCTGAGAACTGTGGTTACCCACAAGATCTTGTGTGGCTTACGTTAAAGAGTTTTTACCAACTGGCTCGGACAGCTTCAATATCACTAACCAAGTTTTGAGCCAAGCATATGCCAAATATCTGGAAGAAAAGAAATGCACGTGTTAAACTGGAACTGACTTTCAAATGCAGAAATTTGAGTTAGCCAGACAAAAATTTAACACCCACAAAATTTAACACAATGGCTACACATTAAGTTGAAATGGCTTTCCCTTGTTAAACATGTTTCACTCAGGTTTTTTGGGACTCATAATACAAATTAACCATAGTGACTGAGCGTGCAGAACATGTTGGCCTCAAATATTGTATGGCTGGCCAGTCTGCAGTTGAGTGTACTATGCAAATACAATCACATTTGCTGTGAAGTATTAAGTATTCCATCATGAAGTAATGGAGGGAGGGGAGAACAATCTTTAATATCAGAGAGGGGTGTATAGTATTCTCAGAATTGTTCTGGGAACAGCAGCTCTGAAAATGCAGATGCAGGTGATACTTTTAAGTTTTTAAAATTTTTAAAGTTAAGTTTTAAGAAAGGAAAATAGATTTCAACAGCGCAGGGTTTACAGAACAAGAGAGAATACCTGGAGCAAAAGATTTTTCTACTGCTGTGAATAAAAATAGGATACCAAACTGAGACTACTCACTTAAGTTAAAAGGACACCTAATTGGTCTTTCAGCTTACTTTGGAAGTCTACTAGAGAAACAGTCCCACTAGTTTGGGCAAGCAAAAAGCAAGCAGCATCAGTTTCATCATAATTTGCAGCAAAATATTTATAATTTATTCTGCATTAACCAAGTTTATTACAAGGCTGAAATCAGTGAAACCCAAATGTACTTTCTTTTTTTTTCAATAATAAATTAATCAATTACTCTATACATAGAGATTCAATTTTCATTTCACCCTATGGGGTCTTTCTTGAGTATGGATTATTCTCTGGAGTTTTTCAAAAGAACAGGTCACCTGTAATAATGCAATTCCAATGAATATGCCAGCTACTATGGTCAAGTTGTCCTGCAGCCATTTTTCAAACTGTGGGACACAGCCTTTTGTGTAAATAACAATCTGTTGATCCACTTCCTGCAACAACAACAAAAAAACATTCAACATTTTTCTAGCACTTCTTTCCCATTTCCTCTCCAAAAAGAAGTTTTGAAAACTTACTGGTTTTTGTCGGGCATCATAACCACATTGAGTATTAATGACATCTTCCTAAAAATAAAGACAAAGAATTTGCAATAGATGTCTTCTTTTATCAACAAAAAGTCTATCTCCAACACAAGATCTTGTCTAAGTAGTCCTAACTGGAACTAAAAACTCTATCGCTGAGCATCACCATTATAAATATGATGTCATATAATCATGCTAACTTATGATGGCAGTTGCAACTGTCCCAGTTGCCATCGGTAAGTGAATCCCACAGACTCACAAGTTCACAAATATAGATAAAAACACGATTCTTGCCAAGCAGATACATTTTTCATGGATATGAAAACTAGGTATTCAAGATTAACTTTTTTAACAAGTTTCATAATAAAAATTACATACTTTCTTCTCCGTTCCAGAAGGGTGGGCCAGGTTTGTCAGCCATAGCATTGAAAAAAAAAAACCTCCATGATACCTTAAAACAGACATGTCAAACACAAGACCCGGGGGCTGGATGCGGCCTGCGAAGTGGTTTCATGTGGCCCGTGAAGCCATCCTGGAAACAGTGAGGGAACAGCCCTCGCTGCCTTGGCCCTGGCTGGCCAGGAGCCAATGTACAATTTTGTGGTGGCCATCTATGCTGAAATACATTCAGTCTTAGCTCCACAAGGCCATCTGGAAACAGCAAGAAACCAGTCCCTGCTGTGTCGGCCCCGCCCCCTGGGTGTATGCTGGGGAGGTGTCACTCTTTGTGAGGAATGAAGAAATGGACCATGCCTTGGCGCTTGCCCTGGTCCCACCCCCTTCTGCCAGAGACCCTCAGATCTGTCCCACTTCTGCCCAGGCCCCCACAGGCACCCTTGACGCGAATGATGTAGAGCTGGCCATGCCCACCCAGTAGGCCACACCCACTCCATCCATGGCCAGGAACGCAGCCACCTGTCGAAAGTCACGGACGTAATCAGTTGCGAGCCGGCCGCGCTGCCGCAGCGCCAGCATCTCTGCCTCAGCCCGCTGGACCCGGGAGGCATCTTCAAAGTGGGAGCGCAATGTGTCCAGAAACAGCCCAGCGTTGGCCAGCTCCCAGGCATGGTCGCTGTACAGGTCCACTGCCCACGCTGCTGCCTCGCCTTGCAATCCCGCTGTAACCGCCACCATCATGGCCCACTGGGACAAGTAGAGACGGGCATACTGATCCAGGTGGCTTATTATATGGCTCAAGAACATCGCCAGGCAGTCCGGGTGCCCATCGCCAGGCGGTCCAGGTGCCCCTGACCCCAGGGTCCCATAGGTTGGCCCGGTCCTCATACTGTGTCGGCCATTGGCAGTAAACCCTGGTTACCCACACCCTGCTGGTCAGAGCTCCTCCCAACAGGCAACCCCCATGGATCAGGTGCCGATCTGCCTGTCCACGCAGGCTGGGACTGCGCCTGTGGTGCACCCAGACTAGACCCTCCTACCGTGGAGACATCTGGAGCGAGAGGGCCTTGCAGTCATGGGCTAGCCAGATGGAACCAGGCCAAGTCGGGATGTCTAACTGGTGCCTCTGTCCGACACCATGAGGTGTCCCCTCTTGTTGCTGTCCATCTTGGCCATGAGGAGGTGTCTTGGTACCCACCCTCCCCAAACCGGTCCCTCAAAACCTCCATAATGTATTGTCCGGGAATGGTGGAATAGCTCCATTCCTCCTCATCCTCTTCCATCAGCCGCCTCTCCCTCCATTCCATCAAAGGGGCCCTGAGCCCCGGGGTATATGCCCATCTGGGCTCCAGATTGGCTAGTGCAGGGCTGTGCCACCATTCCCCCGATGCTGCAGAAATCCCAGCCTCCACCATCTTGGGCCTGACTGCTGGCTGCACCTCCCGGGCCTCGGGTTAGGCCCTGTTGCTCCAGCCAGGTCGGCCTTGTCTGCCACCAGAGGAGCCTCCTGTTTACCTTCCGCCATCACCGTAAGAACACAAAGGTGATAGGCAATAGGAGGGGAACAGGAAAATAAGAGAGTGCTGACTTACTGTTAGTTGTCCTCTGTCTGCTGCCAACAAACTCCAGAACACAGGAACAACATGACCAGCAAGACTTTAATGCGTACAAAAGGAAAGTCAGCACTGGGAGTGGTTTGCTCCCAATGCCTTACATAGATGTGCCCCGCCCTCCAACCCCACCCCAATCAGCAAGCCAGCATCCGGTCCATGCAGAGATAAAAGCCGTAGCTCAAGTTCTGACTTCCCCTCCCTCCAGACGCATCAGCGCAGCCACACGGCCTCCATAGGACCAGCCGTCCTATCCGGCAACCAGCCATTGTCCAGCTCCTCCCCGCCGCCAGCGTGGCTCTACAGCAGACAGCCCCTCTGGGAAGCAGCTCCACACGGTAACCGGCGTCCTCCCCCCGGCAGATAGCTCTTCTGGGAGGTAGCTGGGAGGTAGCTCCACGCGGCAACCGGCATCCTTCCTCAGCCGCCGGCAACACAGGAGAGGCGGCTGTGGTGAGAGACAGCCTCCCCCGACGCCCAGCTGGTCGCCTTTGCTGCCCGGCTGGCTCCCGGGAATTCCCCCCAGCATCAGGTGAGGAGAGGTGATCGCGGTGAAAGACAGCCTCCCCCGATGTCCAGCTGGTCGCCTCTGCTGCCAGGCTGGCTTCCGGGAATTTCCCCCCGGTGTCTGGTGAGAAGGGAGAGGTGGCCGCGGTGCGAGGCGGTCCCTCTGGCATCCGGCTGGCTCGCCCCTGACGCCCAGCCGGCCTCCGGGACTCCCCTGGCGCCCGGTTACAAGGGGGAGGCGTCCACGGTGTATGGTGACCTTGTCACCCCCCAGCTGGTCCTCGGGCGTCAGGCGGCACACGGATGTCAGCCGGCTGCTGGCTGCTCCTTCCCTGTCCCCCACCGGTTCGTGTCAAGCCCAGGAGCTTGATACCCAGTAGGCTGCTCCCAACCTGGCCACACCCACCTGGCCCTCCGAGGGCAACGGTAATGCTGATGCAGTCCACAATGAAATTGAGTTTGACACCCCTGCCTTAAAAGTTAATATATTTATGGTGGCACTAGCCTAGTGTAAGAACAATCCCATTGTGATTGATGATCTTTTCAGGAATATAACAGTAGCTTTGCCAGGCTTCTGTTCTGACTTACAGCAGGATCTTTAGTGCAGCAAGAGAAAGGTACTCCACACCGTTCTCGACTAGCATTGGAGTCTGTGCAGTTGAAGTAAATGTTGAGGTTCCAGTCATCAGCTCCAAAGGCCCCACAGCACTGCCACTAGGGTAAGGAGGGGGAAAAAAGACAGAGGTATCACAGTTCTGGCAACATGGGCCAGGCCCGACTGTTCTTCTAAGCTACCATTCCAAATCACTTTATGAATTTATTTTGTACTGGAAATACATGCAAAAGTTTTCAAGTCTTTACTGTAGTGCATGACTAGTTCCCTACAACTAGGAATTGCAAAAAAACAAAAAACAAGACATTGTATCTGCCACAATGCTCCAAACAGATAGGATTTTTTCTCCTTAGACAGTACTTTTCCTTTAACCAAGTCTTTTAGAAAGTAGAGAAAACCTACCACCTTTTGTGGCAAAACATCATGTTACCAATGTGTAATATAGAGAGAATAATTAAAATGTGAGTCAATTATTTAATGCAACTTGCACGTGGCACTGATTTTGTGGGTCCTAAGGCTTGAAATAGGACTTCAGAGAGGATCCCCTCAAACCACCTTTGCTGTGCAAATTAGAAAAGGCTTGTTCAAACTTTTCTGGAAATCTGTTCGTACTCCTGCACCATTCAGTGACACATCTTGTTCAAGCTTGTTCAGGGAGAAAAAGCTTAACTCAGTCACAGCAGCAAAACAACTATATCAGTTCATGTATCCCAAACAGATTGTTCATTATTCTATGTTGGCTCATGCCTTATACGTTTAAGGCTCATGCCTTATAACTTTAGCTGAACACAGAAACTGTGGCCCCAAGATATTCAAAATGTTGTCCATTTCCTCCACTTCTGAGAATAACCATGTGAATCCATTTGCTATGAAATTTGCAAAGTATTTCTCAATAAATACTGCTAATTTTTACATTAGTGATACTACAGTTCAATGAGAAACATGCCTATAATCATCCTGAAAATGTTTTCAGAAAACCTTTCAAAAATAAACAGATAAGAAATGAAATGCAAACAGTACAATGGGGAAAAGTTCTTAAGTCAAGCTGTGCTTCACTTGGAATGGCTTCATGGATAGTTTCATGTACTTTTCTTGCCAAAAATGTGGTCATTGCCTTCTTCTAATCATAAGACTGTATTCTAATCTACAACTCTGTATTTACTGAGGATACTTCATACAACTACTATACTGGTTTGACTTTCTTTGCCTTTCTGAAATCAGCCAAGATTAATGTTGCCACTGGCTGCAGATGAACAGCAAGAGTCACAGTCAGAAGTGGATATTTACCCTTACAGCAGAGTTGGCAGATCTGTAGTTCACCAGTTATATATTTAATTAATGAATGAATGATTTTTTATCAAACTTATATGCCACCTAACTCAGTATGCAAATGACTAAGGGCAGCATTATAAATGGCCCAGCAGATGTTGCAGAATTATAATTCCTAGTCATTCCTATCTAAATGAATAAAAGTGGCGGATGCTAGGGATTGTAGGATTCCACACCATCTGGTGGGCCATGTAGGTTCCACAGTCCTATCTTAAAGAAAGAAGAAGCTCTTACATATTCTTGGGTAAAGTCTATGAGATTTTGCAAATCAATGTCATCTCTGTATGCTCGGATATTGTTGTTGATAAAGAAATACAGCTGGTCTTTGATCCAGTCTTTGAAAACAAATGCCAGAACTCCCGCTGTGAGTTCCAGGAAGAAGATTATTCCAAGGAAGACTGAGAACTGCAAAGAAGTAAAATAATTTATTGGCTTCAATAAAACCTTGAGAACTAATGCAATTCCAAAGAATCAAATGGATAAAAGCTGATATTACAGGTATTTTTACTCGTTTTACACTATTCTCAGTGAGGTTGGCAAAAATAACAAACCATACACATCATTTAAGCACAACACTTTCAGTTGTGCTTAAAGTATGTATGTGTATCATTTGTTGTTTTTGCCAGCCTCATTGAGAAACAATTACAGCAAAATCCATGTTAGAGGAATAATGAATTACACATGTAATTCTACCTTTTCAAACAGTTCCATATCCAATTCCCTTTGGAATATCCAAGTTTTCAAACAACCAATGACTCTGTTTTACAGCAATATATTCGTCTAAAACATGAGTGGCTAACTGCAGCCTTTGGTATTGCAGGGAACCAGTTAGGCTTTTCAAATTTTGTTGGTCCCTTCCAAGATGATGATGATAATGATGATGATGATGATTATAGCAAGAAAATGGACTACTAATGTCCTGCAGCCAATTAATGGCAGAAAACTAACCAATCCATCTAATTGTTTGACCCAACTGGTAGATATGAGCCAGTCTGAGATTTTTTTGCTGCCGATAAGTCATTATTGCTTTTTATACTCCCTGCAATTGTCAAAAGAAATCACCAATGACTAAAATGAACATTTACATCTCAAAATTGATGCTGAAGCATTACAAGGCTCAAGATTGTAAACACAAAGCATGAATAGAGCATGCATAAATTAACTAGAACTATAGGCAATGGCTCTATCTTCTCAGTGCCTCAGCTTGCCATAATATTAATTTATTCATGGTTGTTTGTATGTCACTTCTTATTAACAATAGATGACTTAAAATGAAGGTAAAATAGTAAGATTTAAAGAAAGAATTATCAGTGGTTCCATTTAAAGAAGAACTTATCAGTAGTTCCACTTAGCATTAAGCTAGTGAAGCAAGATCATCCATTATTTTACATACAGTATGTTTAAACATCCCATTCAAGCTGAACACTTGAGGTGGATTTTAAGGTGTTTTTTTTAAAATACAAATCTCTCCAAAAAAGCTTGAAGTAAATTTTTAAAAGAACTTTAAGGAGCAATGTGGTAGTTACTTACAAACTTGAGAAGAAAAGTATTCTCCCGCAGAGCACCGATGCATCCTGCAAAGCCCAATATGAACATCACACCTCCAACCACAAGGAAGAGCCAAACTGGATCAAAGCCACCCAGGTCAGTAATGGAAGAAATGTTGGACAGCACCCCCTTTGGCAGTGAATGTAAAAGGAAGAAGAGGTGAGAGAGGGAGAAACAAGGAATACAAATATATCACAGATGTATCCGGCTTTTACTGACACTCCCCTTTCCCTTTCAAAGAAAGAATGAAGGAGTCACACTAGCATTTGGCATTTCTGTCCAGAAGAGATTAATAACATTCTGTACAAAAGTGATTACTTCCTGTAAATTCTTTCTGCGTTGACACATATCAGTCTACCAATGCAATCAGGCCCACAGCCATATCCTTTGTGAAAAAGTCATGAAATGTCATTTAGCACACTTTTGCCAAAAATGGTTTGTCAAAAGGTTAGAAAAGCAATAACGGAGGAGAGAAACTAAGAATGGTGCAGCAAGGCTAATTTTTAGATGCTCACAGTCTGCCCTTTTATCTGCTAATTACATTCAAGTATGTCCGTACAAATGGTTAAATTCCAATAAAATATTAATCTTCTGAAATACTGAAAAAGGAAATAACTCTAACCCAACATGAAAGAAGGAATATTTTCTCCCTCTCATTATTATATTGCACACACCAGAAGGGAACCAAGATATGCAATATCTGATAAACAGCCCCATCTGTAGTACTGTATTAATATTAACACTGTAATATTGGATCCCAGCAAAACAGGAGACATTATCTACACCCTGTGAGCCAACCTAGAGCAGAAAAACATACAAGTATTATTTAATGATTGCCTCTATATATTATCCTGGCATTCTAGGAAATAAAAGTTGATATTAGAGATTGAAAGTTGGACTGGCAATTTCCCCATCATACAGCGAACAACCACACAGGAATATATTCAGGAATATTAAATTATATTCCAAACATTTGGATATCTTTTTATGAAAATCTTTGGATCTACTTCACCTAAATAATTACACAGTCACATGTTTTTTTGAAACATGCTTCTGGATCAGATGAAAAAAGTTGACTGATTGATGAAATGTGTCTATTCTAAGTCTTTAGACTGGTTCCATATCAATTGGACCATCTGAATCTCTGTGTCTGATTTATTATATAAAATCAGAGTTGTAGTAATTTTCATGTAGTTAATTATTGCTGCATTTTATTTTTTCTATGTTTGTCTATATTTTTATTTGTATCCATGTTTTGTTTTTCTTTTTTAACTGTATTAGTACTATATAGTGTTCCAACCTAATCCCTTTTCAAAAGCCCTTCAAATTGGCTGTCATTGCTACAATTGCTGGCAGCAAATGCACTATATAAAACAGTATTTTATCAGTCCTGAATTTCTGTATTTAATTTAATTTAAAGGAACAAAAATAACTTTTTTCTGTGCCATTAATGATTTTATGTAGTTCTTTGATCATACAGTAATCACCAGACAATTCTTAAAACAGTAATTCCTTCTCAAAAGAACGAAGCTACTATAGCTACATAAGCTACAGACCTGAGCTCAACCAAATCTATTCAAGTGGCTTATTGTACTAACTGAGTCTTCTCCAACTGGTTTCCTCCAGTTTTGTTGGAGGGTGATCTCCTCTAATCCTCAAACAAGAGGATCAAAGTCCATTTTGGCTAAGGATTACAGAGGAAGGTGACCTAAGGAGTTTTTAAACCTCATGGACTTAGTACTAAGTATAGCCACCTAGAATTCTGGGATTTGGAATCCACATCTGTGGTAGTTGCCAGATCAAGAAACACTAATCTAGAAGGACATTAGTTGTTTAATCTAGTTGGAGATTATCAATTACATCCGGGATAGACAACACAATCCCAATGTTCTCAATTGCCACAGCATCCAACATCAGAAGGGCCACACATTGAATACCTCTAAATTAAACCAAGCCATCTTTCATACCTACTACAAGCTTTAACATATATAAACAATTAATTATGTAATTTAAAAAATCCTGAACTGAACTCTTCCAAATTGCAAGAGAGGAATTTCAATGATACATGTAATTTTAACAGCTCCCTGCAATTCTTACTTTTTCACCAAGGACGGAACTAGGGTCTTCCCATTCTTTAAAATGTCTCTTTCCAACTTCATTTTCTCCTTTATATCTAAGACTGTCATCTCATTTACAGAAAAAAAAGGCAGCCAGGTTTTAATTATCTAAGTCTGAAAACTGCCAAATGAACTGTAAAGATAAATGCATGTCATTTTTTGATAGTGGAGAAACAAGTCATAACAATCATCATTTTGAAGACGCTCCCTGTTTTCTCAAACAGGGCAGAATCACTCGGAGACACTGGCAATTTTAGCCAGTTCTTTCATCTATATTAACACTTTAAAGTATATTGCACAACGTATTTCTGGAAGCAATTCAAAGTGCCAGTTTTTATTTTAAAAGCATGTTATCAACAGGACTGACTCCTCCAGCCTGTCCAAGGCAATTCTCTTGGGGTAAGTTACAGATGATCCCCCATTTTTCTGGCATGATGAGGGATGAAGCAGAAAAACCATATTTTTCTTATTTTGTGGAACAGCCAATTGTGGCTTTCCAGAATTGAATCCTTGGCATCTTTCATTTTGTAGAGTATATTTATGTTATTTATTTTTATTACTGATTTGCTTAGAATACACTATTATTTTACATAATTTATCTGTTAAGATTTATTTATTTTTGTTAGATGTATATCCTACCTTTCCTACAGGAGTTGAAACCACTATACATAATACTTCCCTCTTCCATTTTATTTCCCAACAATTATCTTGTGGACTGAGAGAGTGACTGGACCAAAGTCACTTAATTCTATTATTATGTCTGTTTTTCACTGCTGTAAACCACCAGGTGTCACATGTTCCGACTAATGAAGCACTTCAAAGAACTTTCAGGCATGTTTCCTAAAGTCTTTATTTGCAGAGCTACAAATTATGCCGGTCACCATTGGACTAATTGATGCCAGAATCTGAACTTCCGGTCGCTGGCATCAAGCTTTCCTTGCTCAACCCCTCCCTTCTCATGCAGTCACAGGTCACATTATCCAATTAGTGAGAAGGTCAAACGTTTACTTCCTCTTTCTTTCCCGGGCTTTTTCCCCGCTCAGTCTAAGCCACAGGTCGGCAACCTGCGGCTCCGGAGCCGCATGCGGCTCTTTGAGCCTTCCCCTGTGGCTCCCAGCCTCCTCTGCCTTTGCAGAGAGAGACAGAGACAGAGAGAGGCAATTGCGCTTCCCTGCTCTCTCTCTCTCTCTCTCTCTCTCTCTCTCTCTCTCTCTCTCTCTCTCTGTGTGTGTGTGTGTGTGTGTGTGTAAAAAAGAGAGTGCACTCACAGTGTTCTCCGAGGAGCTGAAAAGCTTACTGGTGGAGCTCCTCCCTTTGCTGCGTCTCTGCAGGAAGCAGGAAGGGCAGGAGAGAGCTAGCTAGCCCAGCTAGGCTGACTCAGGAATTCTGGGAGTTGAAGTCCATGAGTCATAAAAGAGACGAGGTTTTCTACCCCTGAGCTTGTTGGACAACAGCTTGAAGCTTGCCAGGTGAGCAGCAGATAGGAGAGGGGGGAGAAAGAGAGAGGGAGGGAGAGAGAGGGAGGGAGGGAGAGAGAGGGAGAGAGAGAGTGTGTGTGGGGGGGGAAGAGGAGTGGTAGACCAAGGGCAGATAGAGAGGGAGGGAGGGAGAGAGACAGAGAGAGAGAGAGAGACCCTTTTGACATCTAAAATGAAGATAACACTGCATATATCCTTTTTTTACCTGTGTGTGTATGTAATTTTATTCTCTTAAAGCATTCTCTTGGTGATCATTGTTTTAATAGTATGGATATTCCCAAGAGTCATATTTTTACTTTTATTTTTAATGTGCGTGTGTGTGTGTGTGTGTACATACACACACACACATACACATACACAAACACACACACACACACACACACACACCTATAATAAAGGTAAAAAAGGATATATACAGTGTTATCTTCATTTTAGATATCAAAAGGGTTTTGCGGCTCCCGGTGTTTTGTTTTTGGTGGGAAACGGGTCCAAGTGGCTCTTTGAGTGTTTTGGGTTGCCTACCCCTGGTCTAAGCTAAGTATTAACCCAATAAATGCCAGACAGTTTTGCATATTGTCAAAGCAAGAATATACAGTATTTGCAGCATTGACACCAGGTGTCTAAAAGGATTTACAGTAATAAAGAAATCTAATAAAAAAATAAAGAGAGGATACAATTTGAGTAAGTCTGAGAATCTATTAAAGATGGTACTCTACCTGCGTCTTCTAAAATTTGGGGTGCCTTTTCCCTACTGCAAAGATATGTCAACTGGTTGCTTAGCAATCAGTTGAAGTTATAATGGACCCTCCCTCTGCAAAGATACTTAAAACCTGAATTCAAAGTTCTGATGGCCGCCCCTCTCAGTGATCTGGCCACATTTTGGGTGCTAGGCAACCTGCTTGCATTTAGGCCATTTGCAACATGGTCAGGTGACTGCAATTTGCAACATTTTTGCCAGAAACCAGAGTTTACCTCTGGTTTCTGGAAAAAAAAATGGCCATAGTGAACAATGGGTTCATTCAACAACTGCCACCAAAAAAAAAAAATCATAAAATTGGGTGTGGTCATATGATGACCCATTTAATGACCATTATGACTAACAACTCTAATTACAGGCTCAATCACTGTAGTAAATTGAGGACTACTTGCAGCAAAGTTTGTCAGATATAGAATATGCTTAACAAAGGTATCTTTTAAAGAAGGAAATCTTTTTTAAGATATTGGGAGACCTATTTAAATATACTTGGTTGTATAGATTGCTGTTGTTAACTTACTTTTTCATTCCATGCCCAAAGACCTATTCCAAGAAATGCTATGCCCAGGAACTGCAAGAGAAAATGAGAAAGAGAGAGGGAAAGAACAAGAAGTAAGATTAGTAAGCATTTCAAGAGATTCCCCAAGTACCATATATCCCCTATGAGCATCTTATAGTAAATCCAAACTAAGCTGAACCAAGACTGACATATGTAAAACTTGAACCAACTGAAATACATTCCAATGGGCTCCCTAAAACAAGGGTCTGCAACCTTGACAACTTTAAAGACTTGTGGACTTCAGCTCCCATAATTCCTCAGCCAGCAACAAGTCTTAAAGTTGTCAAGGTTGCAGACCCCTGCCCTAAAAGACTAAAACTGCTTCAAAAACAGGTGGACCTTTCCTCTTTAATTAGTACATTCTGATTTCTCAGTGCTCACAACTGGAGGGTGGGGACAATTTTCAAAAAGCAACGTTCTGTTTTGAGTGTACAGGAAACATCTTACTAGAAATTAAGTTCATGGATATTTGTGAAAGTGAGCAAGACACCACCCGAGAAAGATACAGGGCAGCTCCCAGGCGAGCAGCTTCTCTCCCAGAAACCACATTTGGGGTACTTGGCACCAACATATGGATGGGTGTTTACTGCAGACTCTTATCCTCCAGCAGAAACCAAATCCGGCATTACTGAGTGTTCAAAATCATGAAGTGGCTTCAAGTTATAGTTTCAGAGACAAATCCTTCTGGGAAGAGCTTAAGTTCCACTTGTTGAATTACAGCAGTGTTTCCCAAACTTGACAATTTTAAGGCATGTGGACTTCAACTCATGCCTTAAAATTGTCAAGTTTGGGAAACACTGAATTACAGTACTGGGAGATCCCCAATCTCCCCTCTAATTTACTTTTTCTCATTTTCAGTGCCTAAAAAGACTTTTGATAGAATATGGAGCCAGCAAATTAAGATCACAAAAAACATTCACGCAATATCAGATGATAAAAACAATGACAAAGTTGATGTACCTTCAGAAGCTGATGCTAGAAATGTTGCATTTGACTCAAAAAGAACATTTAGAAAAAATCGTATGGTTAGCCTCCAGACCTGAGGTCCCCTTTCTGCCCTTGGAGAAACTTATACTGGCTTCCAGGTTCCTAATACTGTGACTGCAATAAAAAAAAACTTACATTTATATGAGACCTGAGAAAGTTATTTATAATTATGGAAGCCATATTTTTAAGGAAAACTGTCAGGTTTTTTTCAAAGGATACCGTATTTTAAAATATACTTCCTGAATATGTAGTATTGATTTAGTAACAGTACAACTGAACTGAAATAAACATTCAAGCTAATTTTTCAAAAAGTATTTAAAGCAAAATGAAGTCAAAATCAGAATACTACTAGAAACCATTTGTTCAAATAATAATAGAACAAGAGCAGAAATAATAATTGTGTGAGGTCCTCGGTGCTTTCTGAGCTTTGTTGTTTTCTTGCAAATGTTTCACTGTCCAATCAGTTAACATCATCATTTCTTGGTGGTTCCCTGGTGGTTCCTTCCTCAGACAAATCAGCCATCAACAGGCACACAAAGGTAACAACATGTACATATCATTCAAAAGAGACAACCATAAGCCAAAAAGGAAACAAAAAGACCAAAACACCTCCTCACCAGCAATCAACATCTAGATTAACACCAACGATCAAGCAGTAAACAATACCCTAATTGAGGAACTACCAACTCATACAAATAAGCTATTGGTAGGACAAGCCACTAGTATATAAACAGAGAGCAAACACCATTCCTTTCTAGCACTTATGTTACCTAGTTGAGTAATGAAACATCTGCAAGAAAACAATCTAGAGCAGTGCTTCTCAACGTTTGTGTGATGGCGACCCCCGTCACACAAACATTCTGCGCATGCGCCGGGCCGCGCGCATGGGGTCGGGGCCCCCACGTGCGGCACGCATGCGCGGCGCCGCCCCCATACGTGACGTGCATGCGCGGCGGCCCCCACGCGCGCGGTGCGCGTGCGTGGCGCCCCCCCATGCGTGGCGTGCGTGCACGGGGGGGGCCATGCACGGCGCGCATGCGCGGCGGCGCCCCCATGCGCAGCGTGCGTGCATGGCACCGCGGAAAATGGCGGATCGCCGCCTTTGGCGACCCCCGAAAAATGGGCGATCGACCCCAAATGGGGTCACGGCCCATAGGTTGAGAACCGCTGATCTAGAGTACCAAGGATCCTACAATTCAACCCTGAGCCACAAATATTCTCTTCCAATAACAACTGTAGCTATAGTAGTAAAGTATTCTTGTCCATAAAGAATTTTGTCATACAAGCTGCCCCAGGGCAGATCTTGACAGGTTGCTAACAATTTCTTTTCCCAAAGTCTCAGGTTCCTCCACTTCTAACTATCTTAAGTGCAATACATAATACTTCATTATAGTTCCTATTCAGGCTGCCAAATCATCAAAATTTGGACCACCCCGAGATATTAGTGAATTCAATACACACACTCTCTCTTTCTCTCATAGTTCTCCAAATTTTTGCAGTCAAGATCTGGAACCTTTTACATGATGTCCCTTAGCAAACAGCATTACAAAACACCTACACTGAGTATAATGTTTCCAGCGATAGCCAAAGAATGCCCCAAAATAAATGTATACATATGCAAATTTGCTGGTGAGAAGCAGGAATTTTTCAAACAACTACTCTGAGCAACAGATATCCACTTCAATTCTCCTGTTGGCCTGATTTATAAATTTATTGTCAATAGTGGAACAAGCAGAAGGACAGCATATCCTTACATTATACAATATTCTTATCTATACTCCAATACTCTGCACACCTATTACTGCTCTCTCCAAAAAGCAAAGTAGTAGTGATGAAGTATTTCTTGTCACATATGTTAAATAATTGCTGCAGTTGTTAAATTAATAACACAGTTGTTAAATGAATCTGGCTTCCCCATTAATTTTGCTTATCAGAAGGTCGCAAAAGGCAATCACATAATCTGAGACACTGCAATTGTCATAAATACATACCAACTGCCAAGTGTCCAAATTTTGATCATGTGACCATCGTGATGCTACAACAGTAATAAGTATGAAAAATGGTCATAGGTCATTTTTTGGTGCTGTTATAACTTCAAATGGTCACTAAACAAATAGTAGTAAGTTGAGGACTATCTGTACTATACAGCAAGGCTTTTCAACCAGTGGTACGGGTACCACCTGTGGTACATAGGCACCTGGCAGGTGGTACGCGACCATCCTAGAAAAGTGGTAACGGGGGAGGGGAATGAGCTGAACTAGTGGCAGCACCACACAAGCCTGAGCGAGGATGGCTGGAGCTGCAGGGCTGTCAGAGCTCAGCGGAAGCGCCAGGATCAGTGCTTCTTCAGGGCTGTCAGGGCTCAGTGGAAGCACCAGGATCAGTGCCAGGCTCCAGCTGGAGCTCGGCGCTGATCCTGGCATTCCTGCTGAGTTCAGAAGAAGGGCCGATCAGCTGGAATGTTGCAGCATCTCCAGGGTCTTGTGATTTACATTCAGATGCTTGGCAACTGATTCATATTTATGACGGTCACAGTGTCCCAGGGTCATGTGAAGTGACCAAAACCTGCTGCAATCACCCAGCAGACGGGGAGAATAAAAACCAAACAGCCCCCACCCCACCCCCGCTGCCAATTCTCAACAGAAATGGTCACAATGAAAACCTCGGACAGGAAGAAGAGCACCGCCCGGTGGGCAGGCAGGTGTCTTGCTTGGCTGTGGCTTGGGGGGCACTTTTTTCAGTGCCATTGTAACTTCGAACCGTCACTAAGCGAACTATTGTAAGTCGAGGACTACCTGTACTTCATCACTTTCCCCCCCCCTTCTTTTTGGTCATCAAGTTTTTGACACCTTGCTAGGCGACTGGTGGTACTCGGACGTTGCCATATCCTAAAAGTGGTACAATGGGTGAAAAGGTTGAAAAGCCCTGCTATACAACATGACTTTCCAGAGAGCCTGGGAAGTATGGCTCAGCAGCATCTAAGAGATTGTTTGACCAATCTTCCAAATATGTGAACTGGAGTCATAAAATTCTAGCAATACCATGCTACCTGAAGAATTCTGGGAAGTAAAGTCCATGTATCTGGAGGGCACCTAGCTGAGTAAGAGAAATCTAAAAAGTTACAGAACTGATCCTCCATAATGGAATCAAAGTATTTTCAGGATTAGCTTACCAAGACTGAGCATCACTAAATAAGTCAAGAATGCCTACATGGAATTAGCAACCAAAGGAAAAAATATATTTATTTTATGGTATATTTAAGGTATATATATATTTTCTCAGGGGCTGTATAAAATCAATCCTTTCACTAATCATAGGTATAGTCCAGCTACTGGGAGAAGACCGGTGGCTTTCTAATCTTTTCTTTCAGATACCTTTCCTGATACTTTAATTGGTTTACCACAAGCTCAGTGGAGTTCAAATGAGTGAATTATTTTTGTTTCATTTTATATAATGTTTATAGTTTTTCAAACACATTTTATGTCATGTTTCATTATCTTTTTTTTTAAAAAAAGTCAATACCAATTTTGTATATCTTATTCCTTGATACAGCATGCTTACAAGCAATTTATATAGGCTTTTCTCTGTCCAATGGCATTTTTAGTGTAGGAATTCCAGTAAAAATTCAGAGGAACACAAAAACAGAGGCATATAGATGTTCCTTGCCATGCATTCATTCAAAACGAACTAATGTCACTTCATTGGCAGTTCCTATTAAAGTGTAAGCTAAATAACTATGTTCTCGTCTGAGCTAGGACAAACTTAGGCACCACAAACTGTAAGTCTGCTTTTACCTAAGGTTAAAAAAAAAATCAGTACAGTGTTAGAGCCTTCAATATCTAGTGTTGGACTGAGAGCAAAAGTATAGTTTGTAGTAATTCAGAAATCATCATAAATTCTAGTTCATCAACCAGAAAAGGAAAGGAAAACCGTTCTGAGAAATGTTATGAATCCAGGAAGATGGTTCTAGAATAACTATGATATAATAAAATGATGGGTTACTTTGAGGGTCCTCAAGTCCAGGT